GAAAATAAAATTGTCTGCAAATATTTTAAACATGATTTTTTCATTTGAATAGTTTAGTAAAATGAAGTGGTATATCTTAAATCTTTATTGCCTAAAGATCTTATTTATTTAAAATCATCAAAAATTAAATACAAAAATACTGCTCTAAGGATTTATATAGCAATAAACTGGGTGAAAACTAGAAAGTTAACTTAGTGACAGAAGGCAACTTTCTTCTTTCCCTCATAAAATTTAAATGTGCAGTTTTCTTTCTATTTTCCGCCTTATTTTCTTCTTTTTTTTTTTGTTTTTATCTTAAGGCCAATATTATGTTGACCATAGCCCCGGATAATTAAAGAATATAAAATTTACTTCAAAAAATTGTTAAAATATTAAAGATTGTTATGAGGGCAAAGTAGATTGCACTGATTTATATATCCAACTATACATATATGATGTATCTATATGATACATATATGATGTATCTTAATGAACGTTGCAGTACTCATTTTACATTAAAACATCTAATATTTAAGACGATTTAAGAGTTGTTTAAAAAAAAATTATTATTTTTATTTCTTATTTTTAAATTTAGTTACTACATTTAATTCCCTTCTTAACATTAAAAGGATAATAAATATTTTTAACACTAAATTGCCCAAAAACACAATTAAAAAAATATTATTTTAACGAAGTTTTGAAAAAGAAGGAAAGTTGACCTTTACAACTTTAAGTTGTTTGACTTCATCATCTACACAAAAGAAACATCTAAGCAAAGTGCAATAAAAGTATCTACCACAACAAAATTTATGTGGAACTAGGTAATTGCTTGCTGTTTGGGTAGAAACTACTTCCTTTGGGTAATCTATGCAGCAAACAATAAAAAATTTAGCAAACATTTTGAACGTGAAGACTGCGAGCACAAATAATTTAGCAGACTCTGTAAATTGTTTGTTAGTATCTTGAAATAGTAGATTGTAAATAAATATAAATATATGTATGTGAGTCAAGCAAGTAGTCCAGTCCCTCTAACTTTACTCTAACCGAGTCGAGTGCTTTACTACTTGTGCAGATAAGCCAAGCCGCATTTAATGCGCGCACTAAATGTGCATCTCGATTTTGCTAACTGCTTGCTTTAAAGCATATGTCAGTCAGCCTATGAATTGTTGGTTTACTTCACCTACAAACGGCAAAAACAAAAACAAAAACAAAAAAAAAACAAAGAAAACAAAAATAGCAACAACAACAACAAATGTAACAAATAGCAAAAGCAACGATAGAAGCGATAGTCGTGCACATAGTGCTTGCTTATTTACAAATACATGAAGCAACTATTCACACTCGTTTAGTTGAAAAAGAAATAAAAAAAGCAAATAAAAGTAAAAGCAACAACAAAATAACAACATGCAATAATGCTACCAGCAAAGCATAAATTGTAAACGACACGACAAGCCGACAAGCCTTGACCTGATTTCTCTTCCTCTCTCGTGGCTACAAGTTTTTCAGGGGCTGAAGTGGAGTGGCAGGAGGCTCGTCACTCATTGCGCTCGAAATGCTCCACCAACAATATTTTCTGCTGCCTTTGCTGCCGCTGCTACTGCTACTGCTGCTGTCATTGTTGGTGCTGGTGCTGGTGCTGATGGTATTGCTTTTACTGTTTACTTCAACTTGCTATTGCTATTGCTATTGCTTGATGTTGCAGAGAGTAATCAAAATTCACATACAAAATGTGCAGTCAATAGCAATACGACGTCGAGCAGTTGTGTGTAGTTGCTTGCAAGGCGGCTTTGGCTGTGCATTGTTTGCTTTGCCTTGCCTTGCCTTGCCAACCCCCCAACCATTATATGCCTCGTTTATTTATGCTGCCATGCCATATACTTACAACAATTACAACAATATTGCAAGCATCCGTACAAAATGTACACAAATATTGCAGCAGAATTATTATTGTTGTTGTTGTTTTTTTTTTGAATATTATTTTTGTTGTCTGCCATTGGCGGCGCTGCTGTCAATGTGCACAATGTGCAAATGAGAGAAACGGAATAAAACAAACGACAACGAATGACTTAAATCATATGAAGAGTGCAAGTTGTTTGGCATTAATACCAAACCACTGCATCCAACAACCAACAACCGACAACAGCAAAGCAACGAACGAACCAACCAACTAACCAACAAACCAACCCATCCAAGCAAGCATCTGGTGAAAGAAATCAGTGAAAATGCACTTTTACTTTTTAATTTTTCATCGCTGCACTTCGATTCACTTTTTTCTACTAACAAATATAAAAATATAAAAACACAAAAAAATACAAAAAAAATGCACATAAAAAGCAAATATGCTTTCGATTTATTTTGCAAAGAAAAAACATTGTAATTAATATGTGCATGAGCGTGTGTATGTGTGTGTGTGCAGCAGCACCGTACTCATATAAATTTATTCTTCAATTGCAAAAAAGAAAATAATTTTTTTTTATTAATTATTATAAGTGCAAGTTATTTGGCATAAATCGTTAGACTATCTTTTCATTTAATTGAGGCAAAAACAAAATCATACTGTACTGTACTCTTCATTCAAATGGTACACAGTGCGTATGATGGATATTTGGTATTTGTGATTGCTGTTTGCGTGACTTTTTTCTGATTAGCAAAAAAAAAATATTTTTTAAAACTCAAAGCAACAATTAATTCAAAAATAATAATTATTTTAATAACATCCATTAACAATTAAGTTTAATAAAAATTTTTATTTTTTGAGTATTTTGTATATAAAAAATCGAACTAATTTAATTATTAAGTAGCCTTAACTTGATATAGAGTTTTGACATGACGCAGCACTCCTTCCGAGGTACCTCCGCTGCGTGTGCGCCTTCTCTAGTATCGCACATCAAGTAAGTTTAGTGCTCCCTCACCTCAACTAGATCACTAGCGTAGAGGTTCACACTGTACTTCCTTCAACTACCGCTTCAAATACCATTTTCACTGGAGCAGCAGAAACCATTCCCACGAAATCACCAAACCAGCCGCTGGATGTTACTGCAGTCATATATGTATATTAGTGTCGTAATAAAGCTTGTACATCCCGTAGTTTATTTGGATGTTCACAGTTCATAGATCGAACTGTCTATAGTATATCTTTCACTCATATATACGGAATTTATTTATTTTCAAAATTATTAGACCATATTAACCCTTAATGTATCCTGTTTAATATTGCCAGGGAGAGATTATTAAGTGAAACACTTACTTCTACCATCTTCGCCTTACCAATAATAAATAAAAGACACTTAGGTTATGTGTGCCTTTCCAATTAATATGGCTCTTATATAACAAGACCAGTTCTTAAAAACTCATTAGAAGGGCCCGCGTAAATACTGCAAGGCTAACTGCAGTTCCCTCTGATCACTGGTGTGGGAGTCAACCACGTAAGGAAACTACGCAAAAAAAACAATTAAGCATTTTCTCAATGAATGCATGGCTCCGGCCTCCATGAGAACTATGTTTATCAGACTGTTTGATAGACTTTTCATCGATAAGAATGAAAGATCTGTGAAATTAACTAAATTGAGTGGAATGGATTTTTTCTTTTAATTCTTTTAAGATTTCTGGCGTGAAATTTGGCAATAAGGTGGCAGAAAATTGATAATTGTGGTCAATAGAAGATATTTGCTGATTAATCAACTAGTCAACCAAATATATTAACTAATTATTTTATTTTATTTTTATATTTTTTAATTATTTTCTATCATTTTTTATAGAAAATATATTTATTATTAATAGTATATGCTTAGTTAGAGCCAAATTGTATCTAAACGCTTAAGAGCCATAGAACCATGAATAAGATTAGATAGCTCTTTTATTAGTAACTTAAAGACCTAACATTATGTAAACAATTCATTTAAATCAACGATTAGTCTAAACATATCTGAGCTCAATAGTGGCTATTAAAAATTGAAATTCCGTATATTAATTATTTTACCTCTTATTTAATATTCTTTCTTATAAGAATCTATTTTGGGGAACATACCAGATGATTATTAACTTAACTTTGATGAAAAGAATTCATTGGATCAATGATATACCATATAATAGCACCTCTAAATTATATTTTACATTATTATAAGATCTTAAAAGTATATTCTTATTCTTTAAGCAAATTATCTCGTCGTTTGTAATATAATTACTGTTGAATAATAGCTTTCTGCAGGAAGTCGTTATAATTTATTAAAATTCAATCGATATAGTATAGAAATAATGTAATTTAAGTTGCGTAAAAGGAATGGTTGAAATTATGTTAAAGATGGTGAATATATCTATATCTAGTTTTAAATAGAAAACTTTATATAGATATAATTGAATTATTTAGTGATTGTAAAATTGGTATATATATTATAACATTTATATATAATAAACATGGTTCTGCTCTTAGATTTCTGTACACATATTTTTATTAATTCTAAATTTCTACCCTTAAGACAAAATAATTATCTTATTATTTTCGAAACCAATCAAGTAATATAACCTTAACCTCTGCTGTTATTCCAGGTATAAATCTTCGTTTTCTAAGCTTCTTATAAGAATAGTTCTGTACTAAAGTAACAATAAATAGAATTAATTACTGAAGACATATTTATCGAATAATTGTTGAATACAAGGAACCTAACTCTTTGGCATTGACATGTAACCTTCAGCCCTTGAAAGAAATTTACGATTTGTATTCAAATCGATTTTATATGCTAATTACTTTAAAATATTTCTTTTTGTATTCATTTATTTCAGGTTTAGTTTAATAAATCTTGTAACTACAACTAAATTAAAACTTAGAAAAAATATATAAATAAAAGCAAATGTTCAGTTCATGTCTTTAAGGGAATATCTTATACCTTTTACTTTCGATTAGTATTTCTGATATTAGTAAAGCGTTTGGCGAACTTGATTAATTTCTTATTTATTCGCTTATTTATAACAATTTAACTAATATTTTAACTAAGCAATAACTTTTATTATCTCATTACTTACAGATACAGAAATTCCAGTAATCAAGCAATCAACCAGCCCGGCACCTCACTTGCAACACCATCAACATCCGCAACAACACAATCCGACATCGTTTTCTGGTTCTGCTGCAATAATTAACATTAAATCGGAACAAAATGTTGCACATTCAACGCAACATTCGCAACATGTTGTGCATATGCAACATGGCAGTGGAACCGGAGGAACGGCAAACAACCTGCAACCGCTGGCTATTCCACACAGACCGTTGCTGCATAATTTACTTAGCGGTGGTCCAATACACAACGCTCATCACAGAAACTACAATACTGCAACCACAGGTGAGTATCTTCCAGGAAATATTAATAATTAAATATAAGAAAAAAAAATTATTTATATTAATTTTAATTATATTGAATTTATATTGATTATTTAAAATTATATTATATTCTCTTACTAACCTCTGCAGGCTCATTTCCCCCAAGTCCCGCTGACAGTGGCGTTTCCGATGTAGATAGCTCGAGTTCTGGTGGACAACCATGTAGTGATGAAGTCAAAGCAAGGCTGGGGCTACCACCGCATTGTCCTCCGCATTCAACGCATATGGCATCCGGCACGTTCTTGCATCCAAATCTCTACCAAAACTCTTCGTCATTGCGTAACATATGGAACCGTAGTGTTGGAAGTATGTATTTCTATCTTTTTTTCTTTTTTGTTAACTTAAATCTAAATAAAATATTCTTCTGCTACATTTATGCAATGTCTCTATGTATTCACATCTTTTTTTAAAGTATAAATTGCATATAAATTAACAAAGGGCATTGCTCCTTCGTTATTCCTGCTTGCGAGTCCTTTCAACTTCTTTGTTTCTCGTTTGTAAGTTTCGCTTGAGGGGATGTGAATTTTATGAACTCTGATGTCTTCGAATGTAGTCGCTAGTACTCGCAGTTACCAAAAGTGATTGTAAAGGTTACGTGTTACATGTATGACGTTACTCGAAAGGAGTAAACATTTGTAGTAATTTGCTCTCTCGATTGGAAAAACTTCGAACCTGAAACAAGGAACAGGAAGCGAACGTCGCATTGACTCACAAGGTGAAAAGGACAAAGCAAAAATTATAATCCATAAAATGTCAAATTTAATGTCATAGAATTTATTAATTTTAAGATTTCCAAAACTTTTCGCTAGATATTTTGACCTAAAAGTCATTCATTATTTGCATATATAATGTCATGGAAGTCCTACTCCATGAAAGCGATTAAGAGCAAGTTTTCAGTATTTTAAATTATTTAAAAATAGTTATTTATAATTGAGAACAGGAATTTATCTAAAGATATTTTAATAGAATATTCACTTGCAAGTAACAATTTCAGTAAAATAGTAAAATAGTTTCTTATTGTAAGAATTTTCTGGTAGCAAAGCCCATCTAACAACTTTGGTGTTTTTTTTACGTACGTATCTCTGGGTTTTAGTCACAGCACTTACGATACTTCAATTAAAGGAGCCAACCTCAATTAGTCAGAACAGCCGAAGTTGTGAGCACTGACACTCATATTATCAGACTTACACCTCTAGTTGGGCTCTACAAGTAAACCCGAAAGTTGAAAGTTGGGAATATCGAATTTTAGAATAGTAGACTGCTACATACCATATTATGACAGACATATTTCCAAAACTACGTATATAAAACATAATATTTCTCATATTTTATTATCAATTTCATTGTAAATTTTATATAATCAGATATCGATTTAATCATTTGTTTAGTCTCATTTGTGAGAATTCTCACGAAAATAACATGAATCTCAAGAATGTTATAGATAAACTAACACAAATTTAATAGCTTATTTTTAAATTAAAATAAACACATTAAAAAATTTGCTAAGCAGGCATATATAATATTATATTTTTTTTCAGTAGAAAAAATGTGTAATATTTTGTATATCTTTAAAGCTGGAATTCAATTTTTGATTAACAACAAATGAGTCAAGATTATAGTCGGAATTTTAGAAATCTGAAACTGCAACGATATAAATGATTAAGATCTATCAAATGACTAGTATTAATTACCTTTAATACAATATTGCAATATTCATGAGAATATATATTTTATATTAAAATATGGATTTGAATTTTTAAGTATTAGAAATCATTATATAAATATATATCTCCCAATTCCTAATAAACACTAGGACAGAGAACTACTACAATAATATACATAAAGTGCTTACAACTATCCCTAACCGCGAATAAGAAACAATCGGAATTTCGAATAAAAGTCAAAATATATCTGTTGTTGACGAATTTTAATGTCAGGGAAGGTTTTAATGTCTCTTAGAACCGTGTTTCGAAACATAATCTCCTTCTAAATAGAGACGATAATCTATCACAGACAATGCAGGTAAAACTAACTCGTTATATAGTCTTAAATCTGTCTTATTCTAAATAAATTTTTCTTTGTTATTTAAGAATTACCATCTTCCCCAACCTAGTGGTTGTGTACAATAAGCCTAATTTTACCTAAATTAATTTTTACAGTTTTTGCATTAAAAATTTAAAGTACAAGTACTTGTGTAATGTATGGTAGAGCCTTTTTAAAAATTCCAATTCGATCCTTATAAGTTTGTAAGAGTTCATGATATTTTGGACCTTCTAAAGAGATTCTCTATTACTGCTGAGTATTCCCAATGATCTTTTAATAGCACTGAGCTGAATAGATATTCATAATTCTTAACCTTTAGTGTTAAACAATCTGGGCATATCGTTTATATCATTCAAACTGGCATTGAGTTCTTTCTGTGTCAAACCTTTTAACAAAAGATGGGAAGACTCAATCATAAGCAGGCATCTGTATGCAATTTGACTACGCTCCAATTAAAGAAAATCAATCTCTCGCATTGAAATACGCCGTAGAGGTATCAGTATTTTAGTAGGTTTACTTACAGGTCACTGTATTTTAGGTAACCATGCTAGGAGACTAAATCTCCATTTCAACCATATCTGCCGTAGTTGTGGAGGGACTGATGGAAGGCGCGGCGCCACCTTATAATTTTAGGGGCTTTCTATTTTGAGGATCTTGGCGAAATGGCAAAACCCTTATCTGAACAGCATTTTAAGCTTTGCCAAACATTCTAAGTGGTTCTAACTCTTAAGTTTTTGTTTATACGGTAACACTACGAGCCTATAGACCTAAGTGGATCCGTTGGAATCATCGGTATAACCTAACCTAACCTAACGCTATAATGTACATTACGAAGAGACTTGAACCCTCTTAAGATTGAAGAGCACTTCAGTCCAGTAATCAAGGAGGAGAGATGGGAATAGAAAGGCTTAATACCTAGTGGGCTAGATTCATCTAAGTATATTACGAAGTAATATATTCCGGTGTTTATATTGGGGGCTTAAACAGATAAAAGCTTGTTATTAGATAAACTGCTCTACAATAATTTCAGGCTTCATTAATATAATGTCTGTTGCCATAATTCATTTTGTTGGAAAGGCGCTTATGACTAGGTTCAAAAACCTTAATTTTTACTAACGATAGTTGTTTATTAAGTCCATTTTCAAGAAGCATTGGTTAATTATAACTTCTTGTGGATGTAATCATTTTTATTTTAGTTTTTTTAATTAATAAATACATTTAAAATATAAAGTGAATTTTATTCCTAAAATAAATTCAAAAATTTTAAAGATACGGGTCTTATTTTTGGGGGTGAAATACTGACTGTAAAATCATTTTATTGGTCTTAAATCATAGTTTTTCATATTTTAAGGGTTTTTTTCGTAACTTCTATGAATTTAGTTTATAAATACAATTAATATGAAGTTTGATCTTTTCGAAGTGCAACTTAATTATTAATTAATTAGTGAATGTTGGTGTAATTGCTTTCTTCCTCCAGTTAGAATATTACGTATCGAAATATCGAAGGAAAATATTCTCTTGTCTTTAAGATATGGCAAGATTCACCATAAAAAGTATTTTTATTTGTGAAAAATAATTGCTAATACCTTAAATATTATATTTTTTTATTGTTAAGTGTTTTTTTTTTGTTTTGTCAAAACCCACACATATTCGAAAAATTTGATATGTTTATAAATCTTAAATCTTTTTAATAAATTAAAATAAATATTATTTCGAAATTTTGAAATTTCCTCATTTTATCTTTATTACGACGATTTGCATACATTTGCAAACAGAAATTACTTAAGTAATAAATTCGAATTCCCAGTGGCCCCCAATTAAATGCAAGCGAAATGATTACTCAAAATCCTTAAACATACTTATTTTAATTATAAATAATTTTTATTATTAGATTTTATCAACATTTATCGCGTAAACAAAATAGAAACAACAAAACGACAACACAACAACAAAACAACAACAACAATGTTAAAAAAGTGCAAAATATTTTACTAGTCGTAATATGTATGTTCCCAACAAACCATAAACAATATTTTTTTATTATTGCTAGGAATTGATGACCGAGAATAGCAGAGAATAACTCGCACACAATAATAATCATAACAACAACAACAACAACAACAAAAACAAGAATAATAATAACTGAAAGCAGACATCGATAGATGTGTTTTAATAGTTTTTACTTCCCGACACTGCCTGCGCTCTTCACATGCAATTATACTGCATAAATATGTGCGCGTATCATATGAATTCGTTAATATGTATACGAGAATATTTTTATATGATTGAATGTGTATATGCATTCATTTGCTTTTGCTCCAAAATGTATATATATGTATATTTACGCAAATGTGCGGAATTGTATGTGTATATATGTATGCAGCAATGAATCTGTGGTCATCGACACATTGCCTTTGCGCAAATTCTGAAGGTCACAACTACATGCATGCAAGCCGATGTTCTAGCAAAGCAAAGCAAAGCAAAGCAAATGAGCAGAGCACAGAGAACTTTAAGCGAACAACAACAAAAACAACATAGCAACGTTGGAGAGCTTTAGAATGAGCATGAGAATCAAAGCATTTAAACGTCGCTGCTCACTTAAAATAATGATGTTGGCTTTGTATGAACACTTATTGCACACAAATATAATTCCCCCCGCCACCCATTTCCAATGTTGAACAAACGTATGAGAAACATTTTCCTCTTTGTTTTCGTTGTTGTACTTTTCATTTTTTTTTTGTTTTGTTTTTTGCAATTTGTATTTTGATTTTCTCTCTATTTTGTTGCGCTGTTGTGTGCACTTAACAGAATCCGTATGCGATTCAATATGCGAATCTTAATAAATGTACGAGTACTCGTACATTGTGTACAAAGGAATCGTTTGGATGAGGCGTGTAGGGGGAAAACGCAAAAACACTTTTATTTTTATTAAAGCTACATTTTGTAACATTCTTCTTTATTTTGACGCCGGATGTAAACCATAAATATGTACGAACATTAACAAACAAGCATACATACATACATATGCTAGATATTGGTTCATTCGTTTGCCTGTTTGTTTGTTTGTTTGTTTATGTGTAATCAAATATGCATTAAAAATCAGCGCTAGTTACAACTCTCCGTGCAAATACTTACTTAGATATGTATATGCTTATGTGTATGAGTATGTATATGTTTACATTCATATTTGTCTACATTCATATTCAATCGGGTCTATAATTGCTAATATGCCAAAGAATTTTAAAGGTGCTTAGTTTAGTTTTTTTTTTGTTTTTGGTATGTAGCCGCAGTTCGTTGTCGTATACGTGAGCTTAGATTTGCTATTTTATTGATCTATAGATGTATACATATGTAAATGATAGATACATACAAACAAAAACAATAATAATTGTTAATAAAAATTTGAACAGTCAGTCAAAAATTTATTATCTCAATTTGATCAAACTCTAAATATGTGTATGTATATAGGAAGTACAACTACTCTTGTACCTATTACATTATTAGATAAAAATAGTCGGTAGTTATTCTTTACAAATATTCTTTCATAATAGACTTTTCCTCTCACGATTAAAATTAGCTACCATCCATAACTAAGACATGGCCACACTGAAGATCTATTTCTAGCCGCTTCACGCGTAGTGGATGTACCCGCATCACCAACTACTACTAATATACCGTAGATATGGTGCGCCTCTTTGTATCCGTAGACTGACGTTTTCCAACATAGTATAATTTAAAAGGTTCTTCGAATAATGTACTTTCCATCTATAGAAGTACTTGCGTATAAGTTTCTGTCATCCGCTAACGTTAGACCTTATTCTATTTTATATTATTTTCCATATAGTCTATACATTTCATGTGCATATTCCCGTAAATGTTTCAAAAACCCTGGGTGGAGTTCCAAAATGTTTGGTGTCAAAAAAGTCTAATAACGACCAGTAAAGAAACACAGAATATATCAAAAACATTCCATTCTAATAGCAGTTATTGTATACTACTTTACATAAGTCTTTGTACTCAAATAAATTCTGATATTATAATGGTCCAAAAAATGTTTTTTCATATTAAAAATATATTATTAAATTATCGACAAAATCTCGGAAAATTGTATTTTGTTACTCATACGCATTAGTGTCCAGAATTTATTTTCTATATTCGGCCTCCAATTCTACCAATTCATATTTTTATGAGTTCGTCAAATTTTTATTTTACACCATTTTTGCTTTAAAAATCAGTCTTTATTTTTAACTTACATATAATTTTTTTTCTTCGTTTTGTTGTCCAAATAGACCTTTACCTATAAACTTCTATTTTTACCTTCTAACATTCAATCTTCATATTTGCCTTTTTACGTATACATTCACTTATATGAACTTTTCTCTTGATATAAACTGAACATTATATTATGTGCGTCAAACACTAGTTTTATATACTGGACCAAATCTCTTCCTTTTATGCAAAGCTTCGAAACGAAACCAAACCGAAAACCGAAAAAAACCGAAATTTTTTTCGGTGCGAAAATCGGAACCGAACCAGAACGAAAACCGGAACGGAAAAATTTCAGTTCGAAGCCCTGATTTTATGTGTATATAAGTACATATACTTTATAAACAGAATCCATGCTTTGGCTTACAAAGGACTTGTATAGAAGAATCTTAAATTTTCTGTAAAGCAACATACTTTTAAACTACTGTATTGGCTTAACTTGTAATATATATGTTGAGCAGATAATATTCTTTAAGCGATATTGTGCCGAATCACAAATTCTCCTCAAATATTTTAATTTTTTAACACGTGAATGATACATTGAGCAGATAATATTCATTAACCGATATTTTTCAAAACTTAAATTCTCCTCACTATTAACTTTTTTAACCTATAATAGATACGTTGAGAAGATAATACTCGTTAAACTGTATACTATATGTAATAGTTTAATAATTTTCACAAATGATTGTTCTAATAAATATTCCAATTTTAAATAATATTTTTAAGGTTTTCTATTCCTTTTAAACATTTTGGTTTATATATGATACTCGTGTAATATAACAGCTTATATATAGTCATATTTTTAATATTTTTAAATTTATCAAATATATTTTGAAAAATTATTAACCGCTATTTTATATTTCAGTGCCAGAAAGCTATTATCACACACTCAACTCCAATGGTAACGCTCTCAATAATGGCGGAAATGTTGGTAACAATGGTGGAGGTGCGAGCAATGCTCCTGTGAATGGTCTCACAAGTAACGGTGCATATGGAACATCGCCGTACTTTACAACACCTTCGCCACCACGCACAAGCGGCAATTTAAACAATCACCATCCACTACATCATCAACAGCATTCTCTGCATCACCTACAGCATTCCAATGTTTCCAATAGCAGTGTAGGCTCCACGAGCGGTGGTGGCCTATCTGCCAGCGGAGTACTACACCAGCAAAGTGTGATACAACCAGCAACGTCAAGCGTCAATTATGATCTCTCCTACATGCTAGAATTGGGCGGCTTCGCACATCAGCGCAAAGTGAAAAAACCGCGTAAACCAAAAATAGAAATGGGTGTCAAGAGACGCAGTAGAGAGGGTTCCACAACATATCTATGGGAATTTTTACTTAAACTGCTGCAAGATCGTGAATATTGTCCGCGTTTTATTAAATGGACCAACCGGGAGAAGGGTGTATTTAAATTGGTAGACTCAAAAGCCGTTTCGCGTTTATGGGGCATGCATAAAAACAAACCCGACATGAACTACGAAACAATGGGGCGTGCACTACGCTACTACTACCAGCGGGGCATATTGGCTAAAGTTGATGGTCAGAGATTGGTCTATCAATTCGTAGATGTACCAAAGGATATAATAGAAATCGATTGTAACGGCGTGTAAACCAACTTACCAAACTGCATTCACACAAACTTACAACAGTCAAACAAAAACGTAAACGTCTTGAGCCCCCAAGTTCTTCGAACGTTAGCAGTATAGCAGTCGTAAGCCCCTCCCCCACAAATAATGTACAAAGCCGTTAGGTAAATATGCAACGAACGCATATATCCGCTACACATTATCACATTTAGTTTTGTGCTGAATTACAGGGACATTGAGGAATACGAGTACAGTCGTTAAAAGCTCGGATTCAATCAATCGGCTCATTAATAATGTAAGGCATGAAATTTTGTGCACACACACACACACATTTACTCACAAACGCCCGTAAATATGTGCAATCTAACTGTTACTCTTACTGTTACTGTTAATGAAACTAAACGTACGTACATGTGTGTGTGTGTGTGTGTGTGTGTGTAAGCGTGTGATTACCGAATACGCTGAAAGCGAAGTTAAATGAAGGATTTCAAATTATTTACATACTCTTCTATGTGTACTCGTATGTGTGTATATGTATTAGTATTTTGTATGTAATGTTGTATAGCAGAATTTTTTTGTAAATGTTGATTTTTTCTAAGTGAAAATCTATGAAATTAATTTGTATATTTAGTTAAGATACCATTAGGCTAAGGGAATGTTGGATATAGTGTTGTAATATTGTAATATTGTATTTAAAAATCGTTAAAGAAATCTATTAGATATTATTATTATATAGAAATTTTTATATGTATATCAGAGAGAAATTTTAAGAAAACTATTATTTTGTTTTTGTTGCCTATTTTATAGTAGTATTAATCCTAAGATAAATGTTGAATTTTAATTGATTATTATTAGTTTTACATCTATATACTTATTATATATACATATATATATATATATAATGCTTTATATATGTATAGTTTATGTTATATATAGTTTAAAGCAATGAAGAAGATAATGATGACGATTTTCTAAATTTATATATCTTAATTTAATAATAAATGTGTATGCGTTTGATGAGCTACATCATTAAAAACAGGAACAGGATTAGAATTGAAAATGGATCTCGCTGTAAATCGAATTACTCCCACAAACGTTCCCACTAAAAGATCTTGTTCACATTGCAAGATAATTTACATTAAGAGTATGTATTTCAAATCGTCTATAACCTCAAAATCTTATAATAATTTCAAATAATCATTTTTTCTTTTATTTTAAATATCACTTCGAATAATTTTTTTTTCAAATCGTCTTTAACCGCAAAATTTTATAATCATTTTAACACAATAATTAATTAATTATTATTTTTAATTATTAATTATTTTTTTAAATATCACAAAATAATTTTTTTCAAGTCATTTTTAACCTCAAAATTTTATAATAACTTCAAAACAATCATTTTTTCTTTTTATTTTTAAATATCACATTAAATAATGACCTAAATGTTTGGTGTTAAATATAAAAATTACTTCAAAAATTTATATCTCAATATAAGAAGTTAAATTTTTGAACTAATTTTTTCGAAATCAAAGAAACTGCCTAAACCTCTCCTAATTTTATCAATGCCCAAAATACTGCTTTTAAGATTTAAAACTGAAGACTACAAATTGAAAAGACAAACTATTTAAAGAACGAATGACACAACCTATGCAGTGTTCAGATCATTATTTACGTATAAAGACAAAAATATACATTAGTCTTTATCTTTATATTTTTATTTTTGTGATACCTATATATAGTTTTTAGACCGACTACTCACTGCTACTTAGTCTTATACTCTTTCTAAAGAACAATATACACTATATACTATGATTATTTTGCCAAGTATCCTTATACTGCCACTAAATTTAATTTTTTTAACGAAAGTATTTTTATATATCCCCACAACTTAACATAAGTATTAAATATATATTATATATAATTTTTTTTGGTATCACACCGACTCAAAAGTTTTTAACGAACTAAATGTAGAATGATTTACGTATTCTCTGTTAAATATAGGTTTTCAACTAAACACTTTTATTTTCTGAGAATTATTCTCACAATATGCTAAAATTCTTAAATCTCACGATCTCCAACCGTAAAATTCTTATTAGGAACTTTTATAGTTTTAAATGGATTCTAATCTTTCCCCTAACAATCTGATATACATATGTATTTCCCTGCTGATGTGCTTCATTTAGTACTCAATTAGTTCGAAGAAGTTATTGCAACCATTGTCTAAAAATTTTGTTTCTTAAACAAAAACCTAGTATTATTAACCAACAAAATTTTTATTTTTATAATATGAAATTATACTTTGAAAAGTATTTATTAGTGAGGTTAACCACGTTTGATAAATTGAAGCTCCATTTTGCTGTTTCTAAAATTTACCCATATTATTTTTAGATGTGAAATTTTTAGATGTTATGAATCAGTAACTCTCTTAAGGATTACTATATGAAAAGCTGAAACTAGATTAAATCTCATATGTGTTGCATGTGACGTTTAGATATTTTAACTTAACTTGTTAATTTCTTAAGAATTTACCAAACAAATACTACCCTGATTGTAACAGAAGTACATATCTTGACATGTAGAAATATAAATTATCTAAAGTTTAGATATAAACGACACAAATAACTGCCAAACAAGTTACTAATTCAAAGTTTATATAAAATAAAATCGATTAAAGTCAATATGTGTAAATACCGAGGTTTGTACAATGACAGAATGAGTCAGCATTATAAAGCGGATCCATAGGATTACCGTATTAACCTAACTTAACCTAACCAACACAATCGTCAAGTTTTTTCTTACAATACATTAGATCAACAGGCCTAACCTTAACTTTAGAACCGTCGTAATATTTTTACTTAAATTAAGCAATAAAATGATCAATAGTTCTTAATGGTTCCCTAACTAATGCAAACATATGTTAGCCAATTAAATTCATGCCTTCATTGCGAAGGACCTAATAATATATATGTACAATCCCACAGGTAGCCATATCTGATCATTTACATCACATCTAATAAATTATAATTCAATATAAAAAATATATAATCAAAATTAAATACGTCCGTAATGAAATTATCTCTCTTTTGAGCAATGTGAGTGGAATGGAGCGGAGTGGAGTGATGGAGTAATTCGATGTTAATTGCAGTGCTGTTGTTAGTAGTCAAAAGTTTGAAAGTTACTGGAAAACTTTGCAATATTTGGAGTGTTTTTTTAATGATTCGATTTTGTTAATTATTTTAGTAATAACGGCAATAATAATTTACACTAAGCTTAAGATTTATATATTTTAAATATTCGAAATATTTTTTTGTTTTTGTAATTAAAAAAAAATAATTTTATTTTAGCACTACTTCGTTCGTATTGTTCTTTCTTTGTAATTGTAATTGTAAAAATGCATAAAAGGAAAACCGTCTATAACAATATCACTGCCACTTAATTAAGCAGTAATCGCACAGATACAATTGCTAATCGATTGTGTCTGTAATTACTTGTAATTATTTAAATTTCCAATTAATTAATGTAAATGTTAACTCCTAAAGTCCTACGCGCACTGCCGAATGTGCAATCTTTATGTTGTCGGTTTAGAACCCCCAGAGACCAGAAAGAAGAAGAAGAAGAAAATTCAAAGAATTTAAATCCATAAGTTTGTGTTATTAAAAATATTTTATTTTTATTGTTTATATTTTTAGTTAAAATTTTATTTTTATTTTTTCATTTTCTGGTATGTGAATATTTAAAGCATTATAAAAAACAGATTTTTTTAATGTAATAACTTTTTTCTTATTTAAAAAACAATAAAATTATAATTTGATTTGCATGTCTTTTATTTATGATTTGTTTCTTTCGCAAATTCTTCCAACTGCTCCTCTTCATTATATGTGGTTGGAATTGAATGTCCACAAATGAATCACAGATAACCTAATATTATGTATACACATTTTAAAAATGGACTTTAAAATTTTTATACTGGGAAGAATTTTAATCACAGATGAGAGATGAAAGAGATGAACATTATGCAACACTTCTACGAGAGATGGTGTCTATCAAGTCTTAAATAGTTAAATTGTCCTAAACTTCGCTCAGAGTGAAGTTTGGCGTGTGAAGTTTTTATGCTAAAGACAATCACATGGGAATCACATATGCTGTAACAGAAAGGAAGGCAGCCAGTGTTATACTTTACATATGCTTTAGGATCCTACACTTATTCCTTGATACCCACATTAAGGAGCATAACAAACTTTTTAATTTTAACAGAGCTTAAAAATATTTACTAACATTCAGTTGATTTTTGAATAGCTCCATTAGAAATTAACAGCTATCACTGAACAAACGTTTATGTTTTTCCAAGGTTCTTTAAACCAATTACCTCATGGACGTATATCAACTTCGAAGAAAACGGAATCTCTTTTTATAGTGAACTTACAGTAAAATTTTATACTGAAAACACGACCCATATGGTAATGTCTGTGATAGAATGATGGAGGAGCTTCCTACAGAAGGGCTTAAGCCTAAAATGATTGCTTTCAATTTCACTTTATTGGATATCTCTCTAGTTATATTGTGTGTGATTTACTACATATCGAACATTTCGTTTCTTTTTTAATTTCCTATAAGAATTACACTGGGATGATCGTATTAAGATCTTACTAAGACAATGTTAAGACATTCTGTGTGGAGCATTTAAAATTTCCAGAACTTTGTAAATTGAAGAAATGCTTTTCATTACGGCTATTTATCAACTTCGAAAATAAGGAAATATGATCTGAATTACCTATTTGATTACTTATTATCTATTATTGACTATTAGCATAAAAAAAAATAGATTTTATTGTGTGGATAAGAATTTTCCACTTAGTTTCAGTGATATTTTGAAGAATGGAAAATTGACTTATTTTTTCATTTAGTATCATAGTATCAAAAGAAACTATGAAGATCTCCTTGACTCATTAAGAATGGTAGACTACAGACTACTGATCTTTGGTACATGTATTCGGTATAAATAAGAATTTCTGTAAGATCCCAGTTTGGTTCACTAGGTTAAAGAAAAATTTTTGTGTAAAAAATTTTAGAGAATTAATTCAATAACCTTCTTCAGAGGATAACTATAAAGTGACTTATTTGACTCACTAGGACCAAGAAAGGAATAGAGCGATCACTCTTAGAAAATCATTAATATACCATAAAGATTTGATTTTATAGTAGATTAGAAAGAGTTTTGAAAAATTTAATAAAATACTTATACCAATACTCTGCGGCTATGATCTACAATAAGAAGAGCCAATAAAAAACATAGAATAAAAACATAGAATTTTAGTTGTGCAATTTATAAATCTTCCTCAAATAAATTCTTAGCCATTGAAACAATAATCAAATTTTTATTTAATTATAGAGAAATTTTTTGGAATATTTCACTGTCCAATGGTTGTAACTGATTTTGCTTTTAGAATAGGTGATTCCAGCTTATATATTCCAGCTGCCTTTCTTATACTTCTAGTATTACAATGAGTCTCTTTTAGAAGATGAAAGCTTTTGACTCTTCGTGAAAAATTTTTTTAAAAATCCTTTGAACTCAATGCTTCTGTTAAGATCTTCTAAACTACGTCCACTAATCAATTAGTAAGTTTAATAAGTAAAACCTACATAATTATTTGACGTATTCATCCTCACTATTGAAAAGACTGCAGTAGACGAGTATCATCCTCATATGAACTTCATTTTACATTTATATTGCTTTTTTATGGATTAAGAAGGATTAAGAATGTTTTTATATCTGTATATTTTTATATATTCCTATTTTATTATCAAATTCTTCTTATTCTTTCCAACAATGTAGGCAAAACTATAAATATTGTTTGTAAGATGATTATTAAAAATATAAAAAAATTTAATTATTTTATTAAAATAATTAATATTAAGACTTTTTAAAATTAAAAATGACTGTGTAAAATGCAGCGATTGAGCGAAAACGCTGCTAATGATTGATATATGTATATAGAATGATATGTTTTTAACTAAAAATTATCTTTATAAGATTGTTAGAGTATTTAATTCAAATTTATATTGAGTTTTATTTTATATATAAATTATTATTTATATTATATTAATTATTATATGTTTATTAAAACGCTTATACCCAGTGGCGTAACTACATTTTTTAGGCCCATAAGCGAATTATAATTAAGGAGCTCCTACTAATATCTTTTTATATCCTTTACACAAAAAAGTGTAAAAAAGGTATATTAGGCTTGTGAAGATTTTCGTATCGTCTGTTTGAAGTCTGTTTCAGTATCTGAACAATGTGTCAAGTTATTCTGTGTATCACAATTAGCAAAGGCATCATTTAAGCCGTTTACTCCTTCAGTTTTGTTTTCATTTATTTTAAGAAAATTGTCTAGTTTGGGTAATTTCTTTAATGTTAATAATGAATGCATAAATTTATAATGGGGCCCCCTAAGTTCGGGGGCCCGAAAGCATTGCTTCCAGTCGCTTCCCTGTAGTTACGCCACTGCTTATACCATCACCAGTTGAAACTGTTAACATTTAACAATATTGAAAAATAAAAACAGTTTGAGTGACATTGTATGTTACTAACATCAGCTTAAAACGAAGATAGTGCAAAAAGTTCAAATATAATTATTATATGTTAAAATTACTTTAATATAAAATATTTGAATTCTTCCAACAACTTCATAGTGTGTATATACCCTATACGCTATAAATACATTACATAGTTGTACAGCGCCTAAGAAAGAAAACACCTAGTGAGCTTTACAAATTTAGCCGTCAAAAATCGCTTTTACATTTCTTTAGACACACTTTTCACATCAATAAGAAATGTGGAACGAACTAGTGATTGGCAAAATAAACTTTCAGTATTTCAGTATATTTTTCTCTCGTCTACATATATAAGATGTAGTCTCAGTCGTAACTATTGTTTCTCTGAGTATATGGCACTACAAAACGCAACATTTTTTTCAGAATAGGGAACATGATCTCCAACTGTTTTATAAAATTTCGTTAATTTGTCAATCACCAATTTATATGAAAATATATATTTATAAATAAATAAAATATATAACATGAACAAAATAAATATATCTCTCGTTTATCCACCCTGATTAAATCTACAATAAAATTGAAATGAAATTGAAATATTGCAACGAATATACAAAAACGATCAAGTTGCAAGTTTTTCACGTCTCTTAAGCAACGATACACCCCAACAATAATTTTCACTTCTTACAATGTCTTTAAAAATGTACGATCGCTTGTATAACAGTTCGGAATGGCGACAGCGCTGTTAACACTCATTATAACATTTATTTATTAACAGAACGTAATTATATGGATTGAAATGAAAAACCTGGCTTAAATTTTATAATTGCTTTATTTAAATCAAATATATTTTAAATTAATTTAAAAATTTTTATTATTTTATTTTATTATTTTTTATATATTTAATTATAATTGTATAATTATAAACTAAATATTATTTATTTACCCAAAACAAAATTGGAAATTACAAAGCAAACGATAATTGATATACCTCCCGATTTAAGCTATGATATTATATAAATTTATATAAAGAAAAAGTATTTATTAAGTATTTTAGATAAATTGAATGTAAATTAAATATATAAAATATATATATATATATGTATTAATTGTGTGGAGTCTCAGTTGTGAGGTTTCATAAATACAAACAAAGTATTGTATATATAAACAATACATAAAATAAATTACTAGAAAATTAAATATTATTTATGTATTACATACAATATATATTTACACCCTACACAAAGCAAATTTATACACTTATAAATTGATTTTGTACTAATATATATAAAAATAAATATATATATATATAAATTTATGAAAGTTAATTTGCATATTTATTAACAAATATGTATATATATATATATTACCAATATTATATATGCATCTATGTACGTATTTTAGAAACAAAAATAAAAACGAAAATGTTTATATATAACAATAAAGAAAAAATAAAAAAAATTAAAAAACGACGCAACGAATTAAAAAATTAAATTAAAAAAGGAAACCCGAAGGACCTTTTCACGTCTCATCACATAAATTTAATTGCATATAAACTTTCATATGATAAATATTAAATAAATAAACATATATATCTATATGTATATATATGTATATGAAAAGTATGTAATACTATAAAGTACATATTAGATATGATAATGCTTAGCATTCTAGGCAATATTTAAATAATACGAGTATGAATATCTTTAATGCAACTGGCAACTAAGTCTTAAGATTTATAAATTAATTTGTATTTATACATTTTTACACTAAATTGAAAAAGAAATAATTAGTTTAATTATAGTATAATTTATAAATACAATAAAAACAACATTTGGACCTCATCTTTGTGTTTAAGTTGATTATGACTTATTTTTTTGATGTAGGTAGTAACTTTTGCAGATCTGAATTCTGTACTCCAGAATAGAAGTAAACAAAGAAGCTTAGATTATGTTAATTATTTGCTTGCTTAGTCTACTAGTCTACTAATGGCTTCAAGTTTTTAAAAAATTAAATCTGTTTTATATAGTAGAAGACAGTGGAGGTTTGGTTAGATCAACCATCTTGTAGCTAATTGTCTTCTTTCAAGTACTACAAGCGTAGGGTATAGGATAAGTTGCTATTATGAAGTCTGCTATATATATATTGTCTGCAATATAGATATCCACGGGCTAATATAACATCATCCTCCACTTCTTATATCTTCATCCAAGACAGAATATAGACAAGTAGCACATATGAACATTTTTCTGGTACACAGATTATAATATATATAGCTAATATACTCATTGGTATATTACACCCAGTTTGCCCAATTAGAAAGACTAAGTGAGTATTAAAACGTTAACCATGATCACTGGGATATTAAAACATATAGTTATTTGTTGTACACTACATCATGTAAATGTGAATGGTAATACTAACAATACCAACCAGTGATACTGGAGCGTTGTTGTTGTTGTAACCCGAAAAGATCAGCAGACTGTGTCCCTGTTCGAAGTGGCGAACGATACTTGATCTTCTATGTTAGAAAGTAATACTGAGACATTATTGTTGTTGTAAAGTTGTTGTAACTCGAAGAAACCTGCAAGATGTGTCGTTGTTAGGACTAGTGAATGACAGACACTTCGTTGTCTATATTGATGTGCGATACTGGGGTGGTGTTGCTGTCGTAACTCAAAGCAACCTGTTAGGAGTGCTAAGCAGTTCTTGGATGTCTATGTTAAAGAATGATTGTGGAACAATAAATCCACAGATTGTAGAACTTATTTTTTATGGATTTGTAATTAATAATTAACGAGCAACTTTTTTCACATATTCCTGGGATTCTTAATGAGCAGTCCTTAGTCAATTGAAGATTCTTCGATTTTCAATATTTTATTTGGTAAACTTAAATAAAATTAACAATATGATTTAATTATTTTTTTGTAAATTAAAGCTAGTCAAAGCATTAATTCTACAATTTGTACTAGGATCAAGGTATAAAAATTATATTTTTTAAAGCTTAAGTCGAGATTCTGTATGTCATCATTCTTCTTTATATTTTCGAGTCTCGGCATCGTCATCCTCAGTTTCTGATTCGTACTTCTGCAAGACAATAAGAAACAAAATAATTTTAATCAATTAATCAAATAAACATTCATAAATCAGAAATTTAATTAAATTATTTAAAAGCATTCTCCCATTTAGTGACGCTTTCATAATATGAGCAATTGGCATACCTTTTGCGCATATTGACGTTGGATTGGCGCTGGCAGATGTAGGGGACAAGTGGAATCATCAAATATACAAGGAATTGGATCCATACACCGAACTCCACCTTTTTCAACATTACATGCTCGAAACAACACTTGCTTTTTGTCTTCTAAAATATGCTTACGACAATATTTACAACTGGGCAAAGCAGCGGTTGTACACTTCACCCCACCCTCTGCAAAAACGCATTTAGGCATGGCCACTGGTTTATAGTTAAGACCGTCGGTAATACGTTGACGTTTCTCTTTGAATTTTTTGCGCAATACTGCATCCTGGCCGCGATGACGGTGATAAGTACTTAAAGCTTTAAAATTTTCATAATGTTTACGTTCTTGAGGACTATCCTTTAATTGATTATGAATACTAGCTGTTGAAGAAATTATGATTAATAAATATATTATATAATGGATTAAACTAAATATATTGCTTACATAGTACTTCCTTTTCTCCGCGTGTAGCAATCATGTATTTCCTACGAGAATTCTTCATTTCGGTTTGCAAATGTGATAGTTGCCTTAAATAGAGTGACTGCAGTCTGGTAAGCTTATTTTCAGTCGTCTTAGCCACTTCTTCTCGTGTGTATATACCAGCATGCCTACACAGTTGATTGATAAATAATTCAATTTAATAAAGTCCATATTAATCAGAAGAAATAATAATTTAACTTACTTAAGCAAATCTTCATCCTCAAGCGATGCTACACTGTCATCATCCGATTCGTCATATTCAAAGCAACGTGCTGTGTTCTCCATACGGGGTGGATCTTCATCCTCTGCAGAACTATCTGATGCGTAATCCAATATGCGACGTTGATTCTTCATGTCCGCATTTATCTTTGACATATCCTGTACCTGTTCACTTAAGACTAAAGTTTCAAGAGTTTTAATTAATTGCAAATAACAACGAAAATTGTCTTGCTTACCAAAAGCCGAAACATGTGGGGAAACCACATCAATCTCCTCTTCATCCGGTTCCGTAGCAACTTCTGGTTCTTTAGTGATCTTATCAAAATTCAAATGATGTGATAAACCATGGAGCAAAGAGTCATTGGTCTCAGCGCGTAATAGCTTTCCTATGGAAGTGTGCGTCTTACTGAGCTGCACTTGTCGGTTGTGCTCGAAACACAACATGGTAAGTGCCGGGTCCTTTTTGATGTCATGCTTTAGCACTGCATTTGGACACTTTCTGCTGTTTGGGTACAGATAGGCGCATTGCCTGTACGGACTATTGACATCTCGCAAAATATGGCGAAGGCAAAACTCGTAACCCTCCAAACGTGGTAACGAACATTCGAATGTAGGGTTCGAACACGATTTAGCTTTATTTTCGATTTCCTGTAGCAATTGCTCGCGCAATTCTTTTTCACCGCCACTTTGGTTCATTTCAACAATTTTCACGACCGCTTCTCAGCTCCCTCCCGTTCTACAATTACCAACTACCAACTCTTTCAACCGAAATGCAGTAACTAATCGTTACTTCAGTGACTACTTTTATTGCAAAAAAAATTTGCAATGCGCTGACAATAGCCATAGAGTAAATTGAAGAGGAAATTCAAACGTCTTATGTTGCTCAAGAGCAGTCATTTGCTACTTTTATATCAATTTCTAATAAGTAAAAATAAGTAGTAAATGTTATTTAAAGGGCATTACAAACAATATTTAACCCACAAAACAATCATAACATTACGTTCTGCGACACATCTTAAGCAGGATATCGACGATGCTAAATGTTTGCAGTCAAGGTATGCGTGCTACTAAATCGCATCGTGTATATTTAAGTTTGTATACCAAATTTCGGTATGAGACATGTATGCGGTAAAATTAAAACTTTTCAATTATTTGTTAAGTCTGAACACATGTCTAATTATGTATATCGAGCGTCGGATGAACAAAGATCGCGGAAAAAAATTGAAAAATAATTGAAAAAGTGCTAGACATTTATTTTCTTTAAAAGAAGCAAATTTAAAAAAAAAATGCTATAAACAATTTTTAAAGAAGTTCATATATTTTAAAAATTATTTTGTACTGAAAATATTTTTCAAGTAAGTTTTTATATATAAAAAATTATTATGTGTATAAAAATGTTAAAATGCAACATTTTAAAGAATTAAGTTTTAAGAATGAATATAAGAAATTATGTGTATTTCTAAGAAATATAAAATTTTATATAATGAAATAAATAACATGTTGCTACTATCATCATGTCAATTCTTTCAGTTTCGATTACTGTTTTGCAATCTGTACTTGCTCCGCTGTTGTTATGAACGCTGTAGAAAATAAATCAAAATGAAATATGTAAATAGTATGAAACTAATATTCGAAAACTGAGTATTCAGTCATATTAACATCTCAATTTTTAACAAAAATCGGTTTTTAATGATTATTAATTTTTATATCTTTCGTAAAAAATAACTTAAGAAAACTTGTATATTTAAAAGTAAAAAAAAAAAACCGTCAAAATATAATTCACTAATCAAATTACTTGCACTTTCTACAACAAAACAAATTTCAAAAACAAGAATTATCACCACAGGTGAAAGTTTATTACCAAAAATATAAATATTGTACCATGACTATTTATCATTTGATTGTCAAAATATTCAATTAAAGCGATATATTAGCGTTATTATAAAATAACAGACGAACAATGCTATTATGAAAACTATTGTGGCTTGAGTTACAATTAATGAATTAAGAAAAGTGTTAATGAGTAATAATTAATTAATTTAAAGAATTAATGTATGTAATTAATAAATATAGAGATAATTAAATATCTATTGCTTTTAAATTGTTATTTTACCGTGTGAACAGTCTCAACTTTTAATGATTTATAATTAATGTTCCTAGTAATATTAAATTAAATAAACTGCGCATCAAATTCATATGTCTACGTTATTGTGAAAAACGTAAGAGTTTTCTGCAAAATACAACCATGCATTAATTGTCGGCCATATTTGCTATTTGGTACCGAATACATATTTACGCTTCGAGTGTTTATTCGTTACAGGCACTGAGTAGAGTTTTTTCTTGCAAAATAATGATTGCTTTTTACATTCTTCACGAATAAAATTATAGTGGAATAATGTTATAAAATCGAATTTTTTGCATATATTGCAATTGTTAAGAAGTTATTTATGTAGTGGCTAAAATAGTTGCGTAATAGTAAAATTTGTGGCGCAGCCCGTCCTAATTTTTTGGTGAATAACTAAAAGTTAGATAAAGACACTCGTGTCTCAATGAATTTGCTAGAAACGTGATAGTCCGCCACAAAATTTTTAATAATTTTATGGGTTTTGCAACCCGATTGGCGAAAAAATACGTTGGGGTTTGTTGCAACATATAAAAGAAAAAATACCAACAACAATTAACATCAAAAGTAACTTTCTTTCAAAAAAAAAAACGAATTTTTTTTTGTGACATTTTCTGTAATTAATTGTTATTAACAAGGCAATGAGTGGAAGTTCTGGAAGTTCAGCATCAGGCAGTGTGCAAACTGAGAAAGATAAGGATTCTTTGTGGTATTTTTCCTCCGATGAGTTGGCTAATTCTCCCAGTCGTAAACATGGCATCGACGCTGACCAGGAACTCTCATATCGTCAAATGACGGCGTACCTTATACAAGAAATGGGACAACGCCTTCAAGTGTAAGTAGAAGGCTGCATTAAGGCAACAGAAAGGTATGTTTAATGACTGTTCATGCTCTTTTATATGCAGCTCACAATTATGCATCAATACTGCCATCGTGTACATGCATCGTTTCTATGCATTTCATTCATTTACTCATTTCCACCGCAATGGTATTGCAGCTGCAAGTCTTTTCTTAGCAGCGAAAGTCGAGGAACAGCCCCGTAAACTGGAACACGTTATTAAGGCATCTAACAAATGCCTGAACCAACCCAACTGTGCTACGACTGACTCATACTATACCGAGCAGGCACAAGATTTGGTTTTTAATGAAAATGTTTTACTGCAAACTCTCGGATTTGATGTTGCTATCGATCATCCGCATACGCATGTTGTGAAAACTTGTCAGTTGGTTAAAGGTGAGATCTAGTTTTGGTTTCATATGAAGTGCTAAAAGCTAAGATAATTTTATTCAATATAGCGTGTAAGGACTTGGCCCAAACCTCGTATTTTCTAGCCTCCAATAGGTATAATAGTAAAATTATATTTATAAATATTTCTGAAAGTAAGATTACACTTATATTTGGTTATACTCATAGCTTACACCTAACATCAATGTGTCTCCAATACAAACCCACTGTTGTTGCCTGCTTCTGCATATATTTAGCTTGTAAATGGTCACGTTGGGAGGTAAAAATCAAAAAAGAAACAAACAAAAATTTATTAGGTGCAAATAACATTGCAAATATTTATTAGATACCACAATCTACGGAAGGCAAACATTGGTTTTACTATGTTGATAGAAGTGTAACGATGGAATTGTTAAAGCAACTAACTGATGAGTTCATTGCTATATATGAAAAGAGTCCTGCCCGCCTTAAATCCAAACTAAATTCAATCAAGGCACTCGCGCAAGGTGCCAGCAACCGTGCTGTAAAAGATAAAAAGATGCCACAAGATGATTGGAAAATGGCAGATATGATGAAATCCTATCACTCTTCTATAAATACCAATGATAGTTCGACCTCATCATACAATTTAACAAATCCTAATGAACCAATGCCGAATATAACCGCAATTCTTCCTCCACCGCAACCTCCAATGCAAGTTAGAAAATCAGATATGCATTCTAGTCAGCATCGTTCTCACCACAGTTCATCAACACACCATCATAATAAAGTAAACTATAATTCTGGGGACGTAACTGGTACTATTATCCAAATTATAATATATAACCCTTTTATTGATTCGTTTTTTTTTGTTTTTAGATCATAAACATATGCATAAGCAGCAACCATACAATAGCAATCTACCGAATCGATCGAGAGACTCTACTCAAACACATCAGTCAATGATGTCATCTTCTGCAGTTTCTCTGCAAGCGGCATCAACATCTCGTTCAAATATGCCAATGCTGAACGTGCGAAGTACCACAAGCACAAGTTTAGTTGGCCAATCTTCTGCACCGCGGCCTGTTTCACAACAACATTCTGATCCAAACTTTCATAAACCACGTGCCGACAGGATTAATCAACCACCTCAATTACTACATAATGTGCCTCAACATGCCACTGTTAAAATGTCACAAAAACCTGAAACAAATCGTATTCCTTCGAAAGATATGCCTGTCCGAATACCAGAACAAGTGAAACATAGCGCCAAGTTGTATCCCCCGACGTCAATGGGACTAACATCTCATTTCCCTAACAATCAACATCCTATGACCACAAAATCAGAAAATAGCTCTGACGTTAATCGGAATTTAATGCACAACCAACGTCCTTACAATAACAGCAGCAATAATAGCACTAGCAGCAGTAGCAGTAGCAGTACCAGTAGTCTACCAAATTCGTTTACCTATCATCAACCGCAAGTACAACGGCCCAACAATAGTAACAACAACAATAACAACAAACATGACCAAACAAAACTTTTATCCGTCCACATGCAACAACATAAACAATTACAACAGAACGACACGTCATTTGGCAATGGAGCACATGACAGTCAACAACTTCCTAACCAACAGCATTTAAATAGTTTTACGACTCTAAGTCAGCGTGGGTCAGAAGCAATGCATAGCGAAGATCAAGGTAGTGCGCAGTTTACGGCTCATAATATGCTACAACAAAGGCCAGTGCACACGCAGGCAAAAACCGCAAATCAATCAATGTTTAGTCCTGATTGGAGCGACAAAACACAGCACTCATTATTGCCAAACAATAATAACGGGGGTCAGAATATTTCCAATGCTTGCGATCCATATGGTTTGAAATTGCCAACGAATGTTAAAGAAAGTCCGAAACGCAATGAACGTGATCTTATATCTGAAGCACTAATGAAAAAGGAGAAGAACCGTTTATCTTTTGGAACAGATAACACCGCTCTTAACATGCTACGTTCCAATTTACTGTCACACCAAATGCAACACACACAACTACCACAATCGAAACAAATATTGCAGAGAAAACAGGAAAGTAACTTTAATGAATTTGTCGGCACAAGTATAGGAGCAGTTGGTAGCATAAAGAGGCCTAATGAAGGCATAACAATTAAACAGGAAGATGAATTGCTACGTGATAGCAAAATTCGCAAAATCGAAACAGATAACAAGAGTAGTGCGGAACTGGGCAAACTACATGTCATTAATGGCATAGAAACCAACCCCGATCTTGTAAGAAATCTTCTAAAAGAGAGTCTTTGTACCACAAGTACATTCATCAAAACAGAACCTATACCTGCTCCAAGCCTACGACCACCTGCAGAGCTATTGGAACCTACTCCCATAACTACCATTATGAAAGATGTTAAAGAAGTAACTGCAATCACAGAACAAAGTGCTTTAAGTGAGCAATTAGGTGGTAAAGCAGAGAAGAAGAAGAAAAAAGATAAACACAAACATAAAGAAAAAGATAAGTCGAAAGATAAGGAAGAACGGAAAAAACATAAAAAAGATAAAGATAAACATAAAGACAGAGATAAGGAGCTGGAAGGATCTGAACCTGTCAAACTGAAAATACCCAAAGAAAAGTTAGAGGGAGTTAATTTATCTGGGGAGCCTTTAGGTGGATTTAAAATTAAGATTCCTAAAGATCGTATATCTGGAGATATAAATAATACTAATATGGGACATAGTAATAGTTCACTCGAAGTAGGAGCGATGCCTATAACACCAGGATTGAAAATTAAAATTTCCAAGGACAAAATTGAAACATACAGCGGTCCTACCACAGACATGATGAATGCAATACAAACGACTCCAAGTGGGCAAATTGGATCGTCATACTATCAAACTTACAGCACACATAACAGTAGTTCGAGCCAAAGTAGCGGCAGTAGCAGCGGTAAGAAAAAAGATCGTGATCGCGATAGAGAACGAGACCGTGACAAAGAAAAGAAACGCAATTTACACGAGCTGTTGAAATCCAATGGCAACTTGAACGCAGCAAATGCTGCCGTCGGAGCTGCAGCTGTGAACTTGAACAATCCGTTGATTAAATCTCAAAATTCCAGTAAGGTATGCTTATGATTATTTTGCTAAATACCAACGCAATTTGGGCGTTAGAATGGTGTAAGGTTCTCTATTTACATTTGTAAATTTATATTTATTAAAATAAGTATATAGCGAAATAAGCAAAACCTACCTTATCTTAGCAAATTTTTTTATTACCATATCCTATTTTATACTTTATTGGCTATGTTTAGCGAGAAATATGGGAGAGCGATAATTTGTAAGGCATCTCATCTGATAGTGTAGTGTACAAATGTGCCTCATATGGTGTGGTCTAATACGGGAAACACTGAAAAGTATTTTAAAATAATTAACATGCATTAACATTGTAAACATTAATTGCTATTTTCCATATGCTATTTTCCATACAGAAACGCAACTCAACTCAACTCAACTCCGTACCATTTTATATGGGTTTGTTGCTTTGAGAGCAGGTAGTCAAATGCAATTACACATTTCAATTGCAAAGTTGACCCTAAAACAAAAGGATAACGTAGTTATTGCAATTTTCACACTGAAATTCTAAACGAAAATTGGTTAAACCTTAAATTCATCTTTTAAAAATATGAATTATGCTATGAAAAAGAAGATTATGTTGCCAAGGACCCTGAATAAAGATTGCAACAATTATATGTGTATTTTGAAGCATTGTTTTGTGGTTTCTCTATGCTTTGATTTATTGAATCATTACTTCAATTACGATCTGTAACAATATTTATGAATTAATTTTTTAAAAGAGGTTTTTCGAACAGTAGTGAAATACAACAACAAAAATTTTATTTTTTATATATTATTTTAATTAATTGAATTTTTGGCTGACCATACAGCTGTTTCGAGTATTGCCAAATACCCATCATCAGTGGTCTTGGAAATAATTCTTGTATTTAATTATCCGTAAATAATTATTTTTTGAGACTGCAAGTACCAGGAATCGAACTCGGGACCTGCCAAATGTGAAGCTCAGAATCAGCGCACTTTAACCAACTGATCCAAAGCCGTACTTGACTTTTTTGTTCGCATATATTTCTGGAGTTTTGTTACTATTACTATGAAAGTTTTTATTAACAATTCTACTTGCTGTATTTATATTAGAACGAAATCATAAACCAGCTGTAGAATAATTGAATTAATTAATTAATTATATTTTTATTTTCAATTGTTAAATTTCAATACTATTCTGTTCGTAGAGGCATTATTTGTTGCATGATTTGTTCTTTCTTATGTATAGAACCTAATCTAGGAACGTAATGCTGAGAAAGTCATGCTAATGTTACTCCACTAGTCGCACGGGTGAATAAATTTTTAAAAACCAAAAACTTTTAAATTAAAAATTAAATTTTTGATCAAATGATTTCTTAGACTGTAATAAAAGCCCAATGGTTCGAATTTGACAATGTCAATTCTTGTGTGGCTCAAATTTGTCAGAATCAATTTATGTGTCCAACGGTTTATATTTGACAGGATCCATTCGCGTGTCCAACGGTTTCCTTTTCCATTATAATCAATAAAATTCTTGAGTTGACTCTACATAACAGTCCAATAGTTCAAATTTTATATAATCAATTTGTGTCCAATATTTGAAATTGGATAGGGGTCAATTTCTAAAACTCGCGGTCCAAAAACTTATATACTGATATCTGAACCAATAGATTTTTTGAAAGATCACTGAGGATTGATATTTTGCAATATAAAAAATAAAATTTTTGAATCTTCAAACTCGCGTCTGTTAAACTCTTTTCTTGTCATAGAATTTAAATATTAGTAATTTAATTTAATTTTATCATTTTAAGTCTACTGACGGTCTTATCTATTTAATCACAAACAATCTTATCAACTTGCCATCAATTCTACAAATTGTCTTTATTTTGACATTAAATAAAGTATTTAGAAACCACGGTTACTTACCCGTTAAAATGAAAAAATGTTCTTTCAAGAGCTAAACATTCTTTTAGTAGTGCCAATAAATCCAGTTTGGATTCAATTGCATTTCCCTTAGATCGAAAGATCACTGGAACTATAGTAAAGGCATAAGAAATTAGATTCGTTTTTAGAAATCAAATTGAATTAAAAGCTAATTCTTACATTACATAAAGTGCTTAATATAAAATTAAATCTACTTTGTTGTTGTTTGATTGTTTATAAATTGCTAACATTCTCTTAGTAATTCTCTACTATTCTATAACATCCTCTGATGTTACACATAAATTAAAATTAAAGAATTATTAAGAAGAACTTCCTATATCACATAAAAAACACTTGTTATGAGTTAGTCAAATTTAAATGGTAATTTCATTTATGCTACGATCCTTTGTATATTCTATGGTACCTTAACCCATACCTATATTTAACCCTTGTAATTACTTTTATAATTTATTTTATAATTACAAAACAAATTGTAATTCCTTCCATATTTTTTACTTTATAGAGAATCTCGGGTTACTACAACACTTGTATTTGTCTTGTAATTTCATACATGTTTTCTGCTATATAATCTCTATGGGTTACAAGCCATGAATTTATCTTGTAGTACCTTTAATTTTTCCTGGTGTATAGATCTCCATGCGTTACAACCCATGTATTTCTCTTGTGATTCCTTCCATGTCTTCTGCTATACAGATATCCACGGTCTACAACAAAAACAATAACTAATTGCAGTGACGAGGTTCTGTTAGTTCTTACGAGGTTTTAAGTGAGGAAGATTGGCAAAGATCTTCATATAACACAAAGAGTTTCGGTATTTTCAAAGTTATCTAATTGATAACTACTTTGATCTTCTTATCTTCTTAAAAGTTTGTCCAAAGAGAACATACAATCTTTTGAATTGCTTATCGATAGCGGTCCTTTTGTTAATATACTTCGTGAATGTGTGTAATTTCTTTGGATCATTAGCAATTATTATCTATAGTTTATATTTGTTTATACATAATTTTTATATATATCTTTTTAATATAAGTTTTATGCCTTTAAAAAAACACAAAAGTCTGAAAAATGTTTGTGAAAACAATTACTTGACATCCTAAGAAAAACATTAATTTTATTTAAACTAAACTAGTATGTGAGCTATATATAGCAAGGACATATATAACTATACTCATTTGCATACATTGTATAAAAATCCAAAAAAGAAAAAAAATACTCAGATGTTTAATTATGTAAAAATTATTACTAACACTGTTCAATTATTCCATAATTATTATTATTATATATATAAAAAGAAAAAGAAAAAGAAAAAACAAATAGAATTAAATACTAAAAAATGCAAACTCATTTAGATGCTGTAATATTTATGCAAAAAATGCAGATCGATTATAGTAAAAATGTAAATATTTTTAAAAAGTATTATTTTATTGAAACCAAAAGAAAAAAAAAAATTTCATATACAACGAATTTTATAATACCTAATAAAACATTGCAAAATCGTGTCTTGAAAATAGCAGTATTAGCTTAAATAAAATTCTCACTATATAATACAAAAAAAAAATTGTATTTTATATTCATTAAACTATTTATAAAGTATAGATCCTTAAATATAAAAGCTCCAAAATTTAATAATCACGGTTCCGATTTTTCGCGTGATGGACGAGACTTGACAACGAATTTAAGAGAAATTTTCATATTCAGAGCTACTTTTTCTCTCTACTATGTCGATATGGCTTAGTTCTCTAGATATCGGGTTTTAATGCTGCAAATTTTACATTAAAAAATCAGTATAACGCATTTATACTTGACGTTTATATTATCAATGTAAGAATTGCATATATTAATTACCGCCAGATGGCGTGTATAACCAATGCAAAAAAACTTACATTTTAAAAAAACCAATATCTCGATATAATTAAGCTATATTCGCATAAAGCCCTGTGGCTTAAGTAGCTCAATATATTGATATTCATCTAAAATTTATTGTTAAATCGTCCCAATCGGAAAATCGTTGAATACACCCCGGAAATATAAATAAAATCTAGAAATTTATCTGACTAAAGTCTGCCTTAAGCCAATACGATGAAATTACTAAACAATATACATATTATAATCGATCTATATTCTGCCTAACTACTCTGGTGATAGCCCAATTTTATATACAATATAATATACATTCCTCAAACTATTAAAATATATATTAAATGCAATAATAAAAAAAAGAAAAGAATGATTAAATGTAAAACAACTAAAATATTTGTTAACTCATATGTAATTTTTCCTTATACATTCATGGGATTAAGTGCTTAACATAATACAATCAGTTCACAAAACCCGTTAACTGGGGTGTTCAGAATATGTTTGCTTACACTGCCATAAACAAATCATAACACAATAATAAATCTAAATCGAAGTATTTTACGCAAAATATTAAGGCCCTCAGATCGCCATAAAAATTTTTACAGATTCAACACTTTAGCAACAATATGTCCCAACTGTTTGGCGAGTCCAACGACGATGACGACGACGACGATGAAATAGATGACTTTCCCTATAAGAACTATCAAGAAAGACGAAACTCACACACACATCAATATCAGCAACAACACCAGCATCAGCAGCAGCAACAACAACAGCATCAGCAACGACATCAACAGCAGTTGCAGCAAAGATAATAGCAATTAAAATTTGAATAAAATATTTCAATAAAATGTCTGTCTGTCAAGCAAATGTTAAGTTAATCATAAACAAAACAAAACAAAATGATGAAGATTAGTGGAATGATTATGTTTAGGAAACAGGTATAATTTTGTACATACGAAAACTTTGTTTATAAATAAAAATTTTCTAATTTTTAAGAAAACTAAACAAATTAAAATATATTCAAATTAATTTTTAAGTTAATATTATACGTGTTATATAAACAATTTTGTTATATATAATACAATCGATCAAGATGTTATTTTGTCAATACACTCTTTGCATTTCTTGCAACTTTAAAATTTATGCAATTAAATCTATATCAAGTGAATCTATTACATTTGTTATGGATTCCAATGTTATAAAGAGTAAGACCTTTTATTACCAATTCCAATTCATAAAAATTGGGCTCATGTGTATATAATATATACAATCCCTTTTGGAGTGATTGTCTTAAATCTATGTCTTAAAACATGCATAATTTAATCTGTTCCTAGTGAACTTGATACTTTCATTATAAGTTTCGATTTAATAAGAAGTTTATTCTTCTAATTCTATTTCAGTCTCATAGAATTTGAGGCCTTGCTTATCGTAGATACATGTTCTCTTCTGAGATGATAGTTTTAATTATATGCTAAGAATGTGAACAGTTTAATCTGTTCTTATTCAATCTATTACATTTGAAATTGGTTACGTTACAAAGAGTTCAGTCTCTTATTTCCAATTATATCAACTTTGTAGAATTTGAGGTATATTATATATATAATCCCTTTTGAGTTGATAATCTCAATTCTTTGTCGTAAAACTTGAACAATTTAATCTGTTGCTAGTGAACTTAATATTTTAGAAAATTGGTTTCTTGTAATAAGGAGTTTAAACTCCTATCCTATTTCCAATTAAGTCTCATAGAATTTGGTGTTTTACTTATTGTAGATATATGTTCTCTTTTGAGGATTTGGTCCTAATTGTATGACATAAATGTAAACACTTTTATCTGTTCTTATTCAATCAATTACATTTGTAATTGCTTACAACTTCACAAAGAATTCTATATCTTGTTTTTAATTCAGTTTCATAGAAGTTGAGGTCTTGTACATATTAGGTATATGATCCCTTTTAAGGTAATGGTCTCAATTCTATGACTTTCAATTCTAAGCAAGTCTAATACTTTCGTTATTGGATTCAATGTGACAACGATTTTAATTCTCTATTTCCTTATTGTATCCAAGTAAATCTAATGCTTTTTGTTTGATATTTTATTTCTAATTCTAACTTTTGAGGCGCTAATCTACAACGTAAACCTTCTCTCTCTTGTTGTTGTTTCAAATAATACATTTGAAAATATATATCTTAATCTTTTTGGTACTATTTTTGATAGTCTAAGAAAATAATGTTTCTTGTATATTAAAAATATATATACAATATAATATATTTAGTAAATATATACTAAATTAATATTTGTGTAATTTAGAGGCAATTCAAATTACCCAAGAACTTTGTTTATATTTCTTGAAAGTGTTATACATATGAGATAAGACAATATTTAATTTGTTAAAATGATGAAAGTACTAGATTTCTGAGCTGAGCTTTTACATTGTACAATACACCTGTTAAGTCCTACTATAGATTTTTGAGGTCTTACAAAAAATATTTCATCTCAAACAATAAACCTTTCATTTTATTAACCTTTCACAATATTCTTTCTATGTCGTACTATAGACATTTCAGCTCGGGAAATAGATATTTCAGATATCACAACATATCTTTCATATCTGATCAGATATAAATTTATAAGACTTTTTATGTCGGTTAATAGACGTTCTATATCGCACAATAACCTTTTAGGATATATATATTTTTGATCTTTCAATGCATATAATTTCTCATGTCGCACAATTGGTATATCAGGTTGCAAAATGTACGACTTTCAAATTCTAATGTTATATATTCCGCGAAAATATGCGTTGATCCTATTAAACCTAAGTGTAAATATACACATTACTGTACCGAAGAGTTACATTTTCGTTCTTCAAATATCTAAATATATGCACTGCTTAAGAAGAAAAATTAGTTATATAGTTAGAAAAATTTGTAAAACAAAACTGAACTATTCGATTACACTATATGATATACGTCTATTATTCTTTTTTTTCCATAACTCTTTAATCGAGTACATGACCTCGTTTATTTCTTTAAATCATATGGTGTTTCGATTAGTGTTACTATTTTAATAACATCTGCTTTATCTTTTTAATAATATATTGCTATTAATTTTACAAATCTATTAACAAACCTTTCAGTTGATAAAAATGGAAAATTCACTTCATTATCTCAAAAATCCTTTATGCTGTTATAGCGTGCTGTAGATCTCCCAAAGCACTTGTTAAATCAACTATTTTGCACCAATATTTACATATTAGAAAGCATTTTTTATTTATTAAGTTATTCATTACCATATTATTCTACTAACCATATTCTAACATAGTTAAAGACTATGTCACTCATTTCATATACTCGGTAACTCGGTATTCGGTAACATAATATTTTCTTTCATTTGTTATTATTTGAAGTTTTTCTCTCTCAATGGATACTACCATTGTTGGCAATTTCTACATTTGTACAGGACAAGAGAGAGATTGACTCCATTTTTATTCTATGTGCTAGCTACTTATTTGACTGACGAGTCTTCTTGCAATTTCCGACTTCTCTGCTTCTTAATTTCTCTATAATTATAACTACTCAAACAAGGGCATATACAGATTAAATATAAAAGTACTGTTTTTACGTTAAAGAATATTACTGCCATCCAACATCAAAATTAGTTAATAATTAATTCAACTATGTATAGCTGTAATTTATGCATTCGTTCTAATACGGCGTTGTGTTAGTTATCAAATTAACGTAACTCTGCGCTTCAAATTGCACAGAAAATTGTTTATAAATTTATATAATTATATTTATAAATAATAAAAACTTTTGTTGTTGTATTTTCAGTACTGTTCGATAAAAACCTCTCTTGAAAACAATAGTTTATATGTATTAAGAATTTAGTTTCTTTCGTTAAAACGAACATTAACAATCAATTTAATCCAAAAAATATTTTTATAAATGATTGATAATGGGTTTTTATTTAGCAATAATCGAAAAATATAATTTTGTAGACAATTACATTATGTATCAATTTTTATCAATTAATTGATTATTACACTAATTACTTATTATATTATACATATGACGTTGCAGATAGATTAATATTTTTCCAACGAAGAATACACGGTATTCAATTATAATATTTGTGGGATCTTTTACAATAAAATAGAATAGGAAGAGAAATAGATAAATAGAAAATTTATTAATATAAAGTACAGTATTTTATATAGTCTATATAAACGTGATATTACTTTCAAATGGGTACTAGTATACCGTCTGGTTACTAGATATATAAATATTCTAGAATATATCTAGAAATCATTATTCGTATGTCATTATCATATACATTTAAGCATTTCGTTGAAGTCTATTATCAGTCACTGTCTCCTATTGCTAATAATTTAATATAATAGAAAAATTAATTAGAATACTAATATGTTATTATATTATAATGAAAGTATATATATATATACGAATGCTTTTATATTATGAATAATAAATGACTAAATTTTTATATTTTTTCTTGCAGTTCTAAAAGCTGTTCAACTTCCTCATCGTGGATTGAGTTTGTGTTGAGTAAGAAACGCAAACCAAAACTAACTTCTACGTCTACGTAAAAATTAAATATCTAAAAAATAACAAAAACAAATTTAAAAATATTTAAATGGAAACTAAATTAAAAAAGTTTATCCATTTATCCATTAAATTCTTATATAAAAAAGGCTATTAAAATTGATTCAAATCATATGCGTAGCGCTTCAAAAAACTGTAAATTTGTTGATTAATGAAGAAATATTCTAAAGTGAAACTTACTATATAGGCATTAATTTATAAATTTATTTAGCCTTAAGTATACTTTGAAACATGTTTGTATATTAATTCTATTATTTAATTGTGTTTCACCTAAAGAATTCATTTCAATTTCAATTTCAATTTGAAAAAATAGAAAACTAGAATAAAAACTAAAAACTATTTTGCGTGCAGACAAGAAATGCAAATGCAAATGCAATGTTGTTTATAAAAGTTGTATCAAAATATAATGAAAAAAGAAATTATAATATATTATTTAATTATTAATAATAAAAAAAAGAAATTCACTATTGCTAAAAACAAATTACGAAAAAAAAGAAATAAAAATTATTCAAAAATCATGAACACAAATAAAAAATTATTAGGTTAAACTTTTGTTATAGAATTTAGTTAGAAATTTTTTTATTTTACTTAGTAATTTTTTCCATTTTTTTTTATTAATAATACGTTAAACAAAATTTTTATTATTAAGTTTATATACTTCTATATATATATAAATATGTATATATATATATCTATCTATATGTATGTGAAATATTTTAATTATATATAAATGTATATTTAGTTTCATTATAGCTACATAACACTTTTGTAAAAAAAAAAACAAATTATTAATCAGATATATCAGTGCTTATATATTTATTATAAGAAGTTCAGCTTTTCGAGCTGGCTAGGTTCAACTATTTTTATAATGTGAAAATAATTATTAATATTTTATTATTATTTTTTTTGTTTTATTTTTGATTTTTTTTATTTCACTATTAAAAAAATATAAAATGTAAATAATTGAATGAGAAACTTTTATGATAATACGGATTGTCAAGAAACTAAAATAAAAAAAAAAAAATAAACAAAAACTCCAAAACTCAAATTGTGACTTTTATTTTTACACACAACGTATTGTCGAGAACTATTGTCAGTAAAAGCATATATGTTTGATCCCTTAATCTCTTGCAGTCTCAAAAAAATTATTTACGAATAATTTACAAAAAACACAGCCCCCGATGCTGCTATATATTTGGTGAAATTCATGGGAGTAATCATGGATGTATGTATAATGCGTTGGACTCCAGGTATACAGATATACAAGCAAGTCGATTTGGACATTTTTTTTGTTAACCTTATTTTATAAAGAAAAATTTGCAAATGTACCCCTAACTTACTTCCTGATTATGCCATTGACGCATTAACGCTTTTAGGAAAATAACACTTTTAGTGGGGGTTAGTACTACTTATTGCCTGCTTGTGTACTCTTGTAACCAGCAGTTAATAAAATGAACGCAAGAAATTGAAATATAAGACCTTGATAGAACAGAATAGAATAGAGTAGCATAGAATAGAATAGAGTAGAATAGAATAGAGTAGAATAAAATAGAGTAGAATAGAATAGAATAGAATAGAAATAATCGGGGTACCGGCTCCTAATGAAGCGGAGCATCGCGACTATAGTTGATTTTAGTTGATAGTGCTGCTACAAACCCTAACCGAACAGAAAACATTCCACCCTTCGAATAAAAGCCAAAATATCATTCGTTGAGGACTCCTAATATCAAAAGGTTAGGTGGTTTATACCACCGTTAACTTTCGCTAACATTCAAACTGACTGTACCATTTTAAAATTAATAATAGACTAACAGGATCAAATGTATTTAATTTATTGGTGCACATATAACATATTAAGACACATTGGTAGGAGGCGCTAGGGAGGTGCTCCTACCTAACTACATCCATGTTCATACCCATATTGTATACATTAAGACTGAAAAGTTTTCGGAAATTCTCATTTAAAATTCGCGCGCTGTATATTTTTCGATATTTTAAGTTTATGTAGTTTGGCAGCACTGTCCTTATTTACTATGCCAAAAATGAGCGCGATCTGTCAGACAGTTCGTTTACGGCAGCTGTTGAAACCAGTTCACCTCAGTAGTGCGTTGCGAAATGTCTTCGACGGTCGTACGACCGTCCTGAAAGGCTTTGTACCACTCATAAACTTGAGTTTTCGATAAAACTGATTCCCCATAAGCCTTTTGTAGCATTCGCAACGATTCTGCACACGAAATTTCGTTCGAAACACAAAATTTGATGCAAACTCTTTGTTCAATATTTTTTTCCATTGTTTTTTTCGCAACGCACTACTGAGGTGAACTGGTTTCAACAGCTGCCGTAAACGAACTGTCTGACAGATCGCGCTCATTTTTGGCATAGTAATTGTCCTTAATTGCTGCCAAACTACATAAACTTAAAATATCGAAAAATATAAAGCGCGCGAATTTTAAATGAGAATTTCCGAAAACTTTTCGGTCTTAATGTATATATATTTGTTTGTTCTTTAAAAACATATTTAGACAAATTTATGGTTTCACATTTTTTTAAAAATATCTCTAACAGATTAGAAATTGATTGACTATATAACATATATATCCGAAAGCTGACATATAAAATGAAAACTCGCATTTAAGTGAAGGTATTAGTACATAGTTTACAGCGGATTAAAAAAAATTATTAAAACAAGTTATTATTATTATAAGCTAACTCAAGAGTTTGTTCTGTATAAGCTGATTAAAATAATAACTCTTTATCATTGCAGTATCAGATTATTTGCTATAGTAGAGGTACAGATTCATTGTATCTTATACTCATAGTATAAATAAAATACTATCTACTTTCTACTGCGCATATGGAACTAAATCCATTACCTTATGGTCTTGAACTGAACTAGCGATTCTAATATAAAATTAAATTTCTAATACGTTAAGTCTTTAGTTGATGTTTGTATAAAAATGTATCTAATTAAATTTTAAATTTTTATGCAAATAAACTTATATTAAAAATTAGAAAAAACGGAAAAATTAATCGGTTAAGATAGAATAGAAATGTACTAAGATAAATTGAAGTGCTAATTTATGGGCCGCCTTTATATCGACATGCGATTTTTAAAGACCTGATGGCGCCATAGTAACAACAAAATTGTTTTTTTAAATAAAACAAACTAATTAACATATATACATTAAATTTATTTTTTATCTTTCATTTTATTATTATAGACGCCATTTTATCCTATTTACGCAAATATTTATTTATAAAGGGCCCATTAGACAGCAACGTTCGTTGTCAACGCGCGCTTGCCATTACACAAACAATTTTTTAAAAATTTTTAAAACACGCCCAAGATAAAACAACAAATATACTAAAAAATCGCTCTCACAAGAGAATTTTTTTCTCCTACTTTTCTCCTACTTTGTGAAATGCGAAATTTGTTTGTGTAATAGTAACATTTGAAATTTTAAGAAATGTGTTGACGAAAATCAAAACATTTTGATATTTCTTCAAACATGCTCGTGTTTTTGCATATACAGTCGGATTTGGTCGGCATGCAAAATTTTATTTATTTTGAGAAATGGAAGCGTAAACATCGTTTAAATGCACGCATGATTTGTCGTTAGGATGCGATGCTTTGCAAATATGAATGAATTTTATTTTAAATATTTGTATTTTCTACCTAGGTAAAATTTTTTAATTTCCAAAACATTTTATTAAGGAGAATTAAAATATTAATAACCTTGGGCTAAAAAAAAATAACCAAACATTAAATTACAATAGAAATTTTGTTTTAAATATTAATTGCATTGTGCACCTACGGAAAATTTGTTATTAAAAAATACCAAAAAAAAAAATTAAATTATATAAATTATAATATATATAAAAATAAATATATAAATTGAAATCATAAAAATAAATATAAATATATAAATTAAAATTATAAATTAAATGTCATCATTTTTCGTAAGGGAATTACGCATAGCAGCCGCTGTCGACACTTCAGCGATTGCTTTAATACTGATGAGTGCACAAATTTTGCATTGTTTGCTGGAGGCGTGTTTAAAAAATTGTTGGTAAATTTAATGTGCAATGGAGAGAGAAGACTTCGTGTGTTTGTCAACGCGCGTTGATGTCTAAAGGCCACTTAAGATACCATTGAAGGGTTTAAAAATAAGTGAAATATTGTCTGCTAATAATTAGTATTTAATTTTCAAAATTTTCCACTCAAATGAAATTTAATTAACAAATGTTAATTATTTTATTTTTTTCGTAATTATTGCGAATTATGGTGAAATTCATTTTTTCCAAAAATAAAGACATATGAATGCAGTTGGTACCTAAAAATACTTTCCAAATTATATAATAAATATGATATAATATTATATAATGAAATATTTTGAGCTACTCATTTTTTTATTCTAAAAACAATTTTTTTAAATAAAATAATATTTAAATAAAATTCATAAATAAATAGAACCAACGTGTTTTGTTTTAAATAAAAATAAATTTGATCTAAAAGGCCACAAAAACCATTAAAAAAAATTGATTTTTATATGAAATATATATAAGAATTCTTTTAGATCGGTTTAGGTTTAGATATAGCAACTTATAAACTATCTGTTCAGATAAATGTTTTTATAAGAATATTTTTGTAACGTTGAAATATATTTTTTTCTTTTTAAAAATATATCCACCAAACGTCGAAAAGTTTTGCAAGTTATACCAATGCTCACTCTTAAAATTCAACCGATCGGTTAATTACCCCTCCTTTTAAAGTTTAATTATAGCCTTGATTATAGCCTAATATTTGATAAAGGACATATCAATCTGATTAAACATTTTTTCAGGATTACCATTACATAGTCTATACCGTTTTAGGATGGTCAATGGTATGGATGGGTTTTGGGTTAGGCTAAGGCCTCTATGTACTGCGACCAGCATGATCTATTGTGCGCTCCGTTTTAGGATAAGTTGAGATGTATGAAAATAAAGTAATATTTTCAGTTTTCAAATGAGTTCCAAACGAAATTACTTAATATCCGTACAGTATACAATAACCTTAACTCAAATATAAAACCTTCTTAGTACCTAGCCTAAGACGGGTCTTATAAGTTTAACTCTTGTAATGGAAATTATATATTCCTCGATGATCTCTCTTTTTATATATTGTATAAGCATTTTCATATAAGCATTTTAAAGCTTGCAAGATTAATATAAGCATCGTCATATTGGGTTCTGTAGTATCCGAAGTCCATTCCATGCCTTTAAAGATGTACCATGCACATTCCTATATGGTCAAGTTGTCTTATTTCATGTGCTGAATGAATTGGTTAACTATAGTCAGGTTTATGGAATGGTAAAAATTTTCTATCTCTTTCCTTAAATTGATGTAAAAAAATTAAAACCATTGTTTTTGCTCTTCAAAATTAACAGTATCTATAATAAAATAAAGATTTTTTCCTATTTAAAATTTAAAATAATATGTGCTAAAAAATATTTTGTTCCTGAGCGCCATGATATCTGTAAAATTCTTATAACATAAGTTTATTGTAACTATATGTAGTAACTGAAACAATACATAATATTTCTATTATCTCATATTTAAATAGTATTCAATCTATATCTGTATTAGTTAAACTTATCCTATCTTTAATCTTTTTGCTATAAAGTTCATCTTGATATCATAGCAAAAGTCCGTAGATATTTAAATTTAAACCACATAAAATCGCGATTACATCTGTAAATGGATCTCCCTTCCATCTGATGCATATGTAAAGCCATACAATGTGTTATTTACTGTCAGATAAAATTCCAATTATTTTCATGATGAATTTCATTTATTCAGAAGAATACATTCCTATACCAGATAAGAATCGTACATACTCGCTTTACAAATACAATTTAATAAAGAAATATATGTACTGTACTTGTGAATTACAGTTAATATCGGGAGATATTATTAAAACGAATATAAAAGTAAAAGTTGTTGTTAGATTTAATTCTGTTTTTATTGCAAATCGAAAATAAAGAGCATTTAATTTTTATGTGTTCAGCCTTTAGTATCGCTCTGCATCCGGATCGAGCTCAATTCATTTTTAAAATTAGAGCGCAAACTGGTTAGATTTTATACCGCAAGCAGAGATCTCTGCCGCAAGTCCGCAAGTCAACGCATTGAACTCCCCAACTAAACTGAACTGAACCGAACTGAACGATTACTAATTGAGTTACTGATCGATATTTTGTTTATTCATTATTCAATATATGTAGAGACATTCTTTTGCGCAAAAATAAATTTTATCGCTTTTTGTAAAAAAAATACGGAAGTTTGTTTGAGAAATCAATGAGCCACGCTTTCGATGCTCTACGTTTGGGGCTAGTCATATTCGTTGTGGATAAATGTTAAAGGAATATATTTTTATAAACGAGACTATTATATTTAAATTGCATATATGAGTGTTTATTAATGCGAGATAAATGATGTCGTAGGAGCGTACGGCTAGGTGGAATATAGAGCAGTTGTAAGGACAATTGAACGGACGGATCAAGTATATACAAGTTGTTATTATTGAGGGATGTGAGGTTTAGAACTCAAAACATTATTTTAAAGATTTCTTTTTACATCATTAATATTACTTTGTGACCATTTCTGTGATTAAGAATGGTATAAGGTTAGTTTTTAAGAATAAAATTTCTACAAAAATATTTTTTGATGCCATATTACAGATTAGTGTTTTATTGCCCTATCTTTATGTCAAGAATTACTTAATTTGCCTGTGTATGCCATTGAAAGGCTTTATACCATTTTTATACACAACTCATCAAATATGGCAGCGTGTGTACCTGAGTTGGTGATTCATCACCTTGACTCTATTTTACCTGTAGACAATTTTAAGTCACACTAAGAATAACAGAATACGTGGGCTTTATGAAATGATGGATCTGATGTTTTTGTATATGCCTGTTTTTATCAGGTTTCGCTGTGTTTTTAGATTGTTGAGTGTTGGGTTATTAATTCACTCAATACTCAATTATGTTGAACAGTTTCAGTGCACAATCTTTAAAAAAAATTTTTTTCATTAAAGATTCGATATGTTATACGTACTTCGAGTTACTTATTTCGTACTTCGGTGACAGAATAGTTTGACAGACCCATCCCTTGCATCATTGTTAAGAAGTTAGAAGCCAAAAAGAAGCAACATATATTAATTTTGTGACCTTAATAATCCATATTAATATCTAATGCTGGCTAAGGTTAATGCGAGGGAGTAAGTATTTTTTTTCATTTAATATTATTTAAATATGTTAGTTATGTTAATATAAGAAATGAAATAATGCAATTAATAACAACTCTTCTTGTAGAATAAAAGAAAACTACTAATTATTATTAATTGCTAAAAGGATAAATGCTAAAATTTGTCACAATTGGGCATTTGTCCAAGATGAATTTCATCTTTTATAAATAGCTGATCTAGCTGATTGATGATGTAAATAGATCGTCGTTCTCTTCTAGTGCAATGAGTAATATTATTAATAGCATGTAGCGTACTAATGAGTTCGTTGCGAATTGCACTTCTCATTTATTCGGTTTTTTGTTTATTGTTTTTAGTTTTTATTATTGTCATAAAACAGACGTTAATGCATCTATAATAAATAAAAATTAAAAAAGCAATAAAGCTAAAAAACAAATTAGAAAAATAAATAAATAATTTGTAGCTTGTCTTAGAGAATCTTGTGCCATTCTTTTGTAATCCCCGTTTTTCCGAAACCGGCTGACGACACAGCCAATATTTTTATAAAAGTGAAAAGAAAAACCGTTACGCATACACATTCCGAATAATTATACGGAAAAAATGTGCGGGATATCCCAGTTATTATCTATGTAGAATATCAAGTACCCGCACTTGCTACACAGCGTGTACTTTGGAGCCATACACTTCGCTTGGAAGTGACGTATTAACTGGTTTTTCTGCCTGGTAGCGATCGTGATTCACAGTCTCGACAGTTTCGACAGTCTCGTTGATTTGATTTCGATTCGGGCGAGTTGTGAATGGACCCGCGGATCACATCTGTGCGATGGCGTACGAATTAATGAGCGTTTAAAAATAAATTGAAATGTATATTGTCTTGGCGAAAATGTTTATATTTAAACTTGCAGGCAAACCAAGCTTAGCAGCGTTGTGCACTGAGCGGTACGCTCTCGCTCACTGACCGTTGCCGCTTTTTGGAATGCGTTTAAGTTAGAACCTTTGTTTGATGTGGAACTTGTTAATCCGGTGTCAACTGGTTATAGCTACTGCCTAGTGATATTCAAAGTTAGCACTTAGGCGTCCGTTGTAAGCACCCCACAAGTTCTTGAGCGCAAGTGCAACGCTTGGCACTCGCGAAATCGATTCTCCGCGTCCGCATCAACGGTTTGACGTGTAACAAACTATAAAATCGCATAACATGCAAGCAAAGCATTCAGTCGAGCGTTGTCTGTGATCGTTAATGTTGTAATCGTTAATTCTTATAAGAGACTTAAATCCGAAATAGATTTTTTTTGAAATTTAAAAGTAAATATATTTGAAAGTGAATTAGTTAAACGCGCGTGACGCTTAATTTAATAACAGCAACAACTAAAATATATAATGACACAAGGTCACGGCATAAAGGACGGACAAACTTTTGTCAACGCAGCTTTCAGTGCCGACGAAAATGGTCACGAAAATGTCTTCCGCAGGAAAAGTGGCAATGCCAATAGTCTACAATTGGATAATAGCAACCCAATGGAATTGAAATGCAAAGACACTGACAAGGTGGATCAAAATGGAAATAATGCGCCAGTACTCGATTTCGATGACATTCTACCAATGATCGGTGAATTCGGGAGGTATCAGAAGATGCTATTCCTTCTGATGATACCATTTGCATTTTTCGTTGCATTCGTGTATTTTTCGCAAATTTTCCTAACTCTAATACCTGATCAACATTGGTGTCAAGTGCCTGAACTCAATGACTTACCAGTGGAAATGAGGTGAGTTATTGTTGGAAGTAGTTAAGTGAAGCGAAGTTACTGTCAAATATTGTGTGAATTATGTCAATTAAAAATAGACAGTAAATTGCAATTAAAAATTTTTATTGAATGTTGAGAAGTTTCTGTGTAAACAAGCACCCTGTATATGTTGCATAGTATAAATGCAGTGCAACGGTCGATTAGTTAAAGCCTTGCAATTGCACGTACTTTGGAAACCATTGAGAAAAATACAAAAATTACAATTTAAACTATTAAATTTAATAATAGAGTAGTTAGAATATCTGATAGGCTCAGAAGTAAAACAAATATGGGCGGACTAAACACCAATTATGAAACTATAATATGTAAATATTTAGTTCAAATGGAATAATAAAAGTTTAAATGGAAATAATTTATTTAAAACTTAATTACAATTAAAAAAAAAAATAATATTTGTGAAAATTAAAATAGTTTTTACTTGAGTTTTTAAATACTGAATTAAAAATATATTTTTATTTAATTTAATTAATAATTATATTATTAAAGTTTAAACTCACTTTATTTACGTGAAAGTACTATGAAATTCTTTAGATACTTTTGTTGGTGAACCTGAAATTTTTAATTATTTTACAAAATTTATAATCTCATAAGATTTTCTAATAAACAGAAATCTATATCTCTTCGGAAGAGAACAAAACTTTTTTCACATTCTACTAACAGGGTTTATTCGGTTATGCACGGTGAAAGATATGTTACTACCGTGAGAAACCTTGAAGCATATCGGTAATCAGAAACCCCTATATACAAAGACAAAAAATAAAAAACATTCTGAGTTTTGTCAGACAAGAAGAATATTTATGGTATTGTTGAATTAAAGAGAAAATTTCAAGGGAATAGATCCTCTCTTCACAATATGATCTTAAAGGCTAACTAAGAAATTATGATACATTTTTGTTTTTATATTTTAAATACTAATATAAAATTTATATAAAGTAATATAAAATATAAAATTTGTTTTAGATTTGAAATAATTACTTTCTAGATATTAATATTTATATATGTATTACTACAATAAAATCTCTACAAAAATCTCTTCTAGTATTTCTCACGTATGACACAATTCTGACCACGCCATTGATTTAAGAACTTCCTAAATCCTCGATTAAATTGATAGTATTTTGCTTCAATTCTATTCCCTCTAATTTTATTCATTTATTTTACATATCATTTAATCGTCTATCTATAAAAATTTACGATCCGAACACTAGCCAGATGAATACAATGGATACTATTTCTTCTTAGTACTGCTCAAACGACTATAGTGTTCTTCAAATTTTTTAAGAATTTAACTCAAACATTATTACTTTTAATTTTGCATTTGGTTCAAAAAGTATGTTAATTTGATTGTTAATTAAATAAATTTTTGGACGGACCTTAGACATGTTTGTTTATATCTCAAAAATACCGTCAGAAGAAAAATCAAAAGTTAATAACAGCAATATAGTCTAAGACAATACTCTGATATATCTAGTCCTAACTTTTTACATAAATTTAAGAAAGTATATCTATGAATAAATAAGTACAACTTGCAAGAACATAGCGCTGAGTAAGCACCTAATAACTTCATGGTATATCAGAATAGTATACATATATACATAAACATCTATAAATTAACACCATTAAAAATTTGTCTGTGTATAATATTTGAATGTATAACTCTAGATCATATGAAAGATATGCAAATATTCGTATGCCTACATACTAAAACTTATGTTTTAACACTAATCATTAAGTCTCAACTAAATAAGTCTAATAAGTCTTCACTAAAGACTGAAGGTACTATTGAATCAACCGATATGCATACAAAATCAGAACATTTTTTGGACAAAAATCCAAAAAAATTTAAATGTTTAAAATCCAGTCCATTTGTATATATGATATAAACATTTATGTTTAAATTGGAGAGAATACTTCCAAACACCATATATAGTATAGGACTTATAGCAGTTTTTTAATTAACGTTATTTCTAGCAGTTTTTTATTACTTAACAAAATTAGTAGGGAACATTATTCGGTTCATTATTGGAAAGGAAACAAGCTAAATGTCTAATATTCAAAACTCATTACCTTGGTCTTGTAACCGTTTTATATATTTAGTTATATATAAACTTGCGACTCAGACCAAAATTTTACTAAATTAAATTACTTTAATTAGTTAACTCAATTTATTATAAGACATTTACTAGAAAGGTATACATAATAATAACTAAAATAGTAATATAATTGCTTTATAATACTCTAATCTGAGTGAACAATATTTATATAATTTTTTTATAGAAATTAATATAAAAATTAGTAAAATTAAAATAGAATTAAAGTAAAGAAAATTATAGTTTTAATAGTTCTATATATAATTATTTAAAACTAATTAAAAATTTCAATAAATGTGCTAATGTGGAAATCTTATAAACTGATTTTTAAAAAATAGCACTTGGTTAGCAATTTCATAATTATATTTAATTAATTTAAATTAATTTAAAATTATTACGACTCAGTCCATTTAAACTATTAAACATTAATTTGTTCTACATAATTTTAGTACCCTCCCTAATTGTTGCATTTTTAATACTCATTCTCATAATATATTCATAGTAAAATAATTAGAATAATTTTACAATAGTTTGTCATAATTGCAAATAAATAAAAAATAATAAACAATAAACCACAATATATCTTTAATAATAATAACTCTGGTGAGTACACTTAAATAAATTATTACGATAATTAAATTCAAGGAAAGTTGATGAAGTAAGACGTGCGGGTAATTGTGACAGTGATCGTTGATAAAAATTTGATCTCATTTAATAAAAGTCTAGAAATTCATTTAAGTTCCGATTTAGCTTCTAATAAATAATTGCGACACATGATCGAACTCCATTTAAGTCCATTTTTGCTACTGATTGATACTTTTTCTTCACAATTTTTTTTATTTAAATTTATTGCAATTTTAAATAATTTTATTATTTGTGCGTTCAAATGATCCTCGACAAAAACGTGGCCCAAGTGCTTGAGAGGCTGAATCCCGAAATGAATCGACGAACTACGTTAACACATTTATATTTATAATTCATTGTTAATGCATTATGAGTTTTTTATAAGATAAAACTGATTTAAACTCTGGAAACTGTCTGAAAACCCTTCTTGAAGTAAATTTTTGGCTGAGGGTCTGATCGTCGAACATCTCATTTGTTATTGCTTTCATTGAAAGTAACAACCAATTATAAGATAAAACTTATTTAAACTCCGGAAACTGTCTGAAAACCCTTCTTGAAATAAATTTTTGGTTGAGGGTCTGATCGTCGATCATCACATTTGTTATTGCTTTCATTGAAAGTAACAACCAATGTGGTGATCAATGATTGTTTTATCATCTGCGTAGCATAGGCTTAAGCTATATTTATATTTAGTGATTTAAAAAAAGTTATTTAAAATTGATGTCCTTAATACAATCCTTTGTCAAATAGGCGTGCTTGAGGAGTCAGAATCATTCTATAATCGTAATACTCACCTATAAGAAGCAGTATGATCTTCATTTATGCTTATTTTTGAAGCAACCATATGCTTTACCATATAATTATTATTGACACTTGTTGTTATTGGAAGTGGTAAGTGATACTTGGTCACGAATTTAAGAAATGGTTTCGGTGCGTAGATCAGGCTGTTTCTGAGTTTGATTAAGTGTACGGTTTTTCATTTTTTTCTTCGCTAGCAATTGTATAGGTACGAGGGAGGCAAATGGAGTCTCTCTCACACAATATTCCTTTTGGATTAGAATGACACCATCTGGGAATAATGAAATAAAGAACCTGAAATTATTAATGTTTTTTTAAGTTTTAAGTTTCTTCGGTTGTTGCTTTTGTAACATATATTGTAACAGTAGCGTAAGATATAACTTTAGTGATAATGATAGCCTCTTGGTCGTCGTAGACGACTGATTTCTGTGGTCATGGAACATTACTTAATATTATTTAATATGAAATATTATTTTAATTTTTTTTATGTTGGAAGTGTAAATTTTGAATCTTAATTTCCAGTTTTCTAACACATTTATATAAAATTTCCAAAACAATACGTTCATAATTTTCATATGTGCTTCTAGCCAGTACTGTCTTTGAAATGTGTTTCAATGTATAATAATAAAATAATTATTTAATTAATATAACTAAACAGAAAGCTTTATTCATTGTTCCTTCTATATAAGCTGATTATTCAAGATATATTTTCATTTAAATTATTTGTTACAACAAGCGCTAAAAGGTACCTGTTCTATAAGATACTTTTTCTTCTGTACGAATGGTAGTGTATCTATTCGCTAATACTTTTCAACTCAAAGAGTAATTCTAAAATACTTAGTCACTTCTCACTTTTTAAGAGTCTAATAAATTTTTTTAATTTATTTATATAAATGTATAGTATATAATTCCAAATATTTAAACAATTAGTCTGTCTATAATCACGAGAGAAAAATCAATTGGTTATGGATCTCTGAGACATATTAGCTTGAAGTGATAATTTTTATGTTAAATATAGTTGCCGTTACATTTACACTTATCTGGTTTTAAAAGATAATCGAATAAATTAACATTTATATATTAAAAACTTTTTAATTTTAGTCTAAAAGTGTTAGACGCAATTTCCTCCTGTGTGCATTAATTATTATTTAGTACATTACATACCATTCATGAGTTTAAAAATAATAAATAAATATTTAATAATTTTTATAAAATTTTCAAAATTTTCCAAGCAAATGAAATTCAATTAACTTATGATAATTAGCTTATATTAGCTTTTGTAATTATTTTAAATAATCAACAAAATTATTTTTGAAAGAAAAGAAAAAAATTATATGCCAAACAGCAGGGATATATGCGCAGAACTATCAAAAAAGGGTATATAAATTTTAAGTGGGAAGAAGATAGAATATAAGAAGATACACATTAAACATTAAAATAAAAATTGAC